CGGAATAATATACAGCCTATGTCCACCCTGAGGTTCCATTCTAAATATTGGTGAAAGAATTTTTGAAATCGGATGAGTAGTTTCGGAGATTACCTGCTGCAAACAAATTTACATACATACATACATACATACAGTACATACATACATTACCTCTTTATAATATTAGTATAGATTGGTATTTATATAATGCTTAAAGAAATTGGTCTAGGAATCTCAAAGTGCTTAAAACAGCCTTGCCTTTTAATATTTTAAAGTTTAGTGTTTATATAAATCATTGTAATATAAACAAAATTTTAGAGAATCTTTAAGCTGCTAGAAATCATAAAAAAATATAATTTTATAAACATATCTATAGAAATTTTTACAAAGATGATTTATTTATTTATAATATAATAATAAATTATTTTCAAACCACCTGTGCTATATGAAAAACTTTTAAATGTCATAAGTCCACTGAACTTCATGTTATAATTATTTATAATTAAATACAAAGAAAAGTTTTTATTAGAATTTTCAATGGCTAAATTTGACAGTTCTGTTTAAAATAAGTTGACAAGTCACTTTACCTTATGATTAGATTAATTTAAATGTCAGCAGAATGTGAACTGAAATGAGACCGATTCCTCTGCACAACATCTGAGTAATTTTGTTCTACAGTATGTAATAAAGAAAAATTAGCTGTATAAATATTAATTTTGTTAACCTGAAAAACTAAATTTTCTTTAGACTTCATTAAGTAGTAGTATTTGATAAACAGATTAATCCTAATGTTTTCTTACTGATGAAAATCAGTTTGACTTTTAAAGATAAATGAAAGGAAAGAGTATTAACTTCAAAGATGAGAAATGTTTATCTTATGTATGACAGTCATTATTTCAGAAACTGTAACCCAGCACAAAATATTCCATGAAAATATTATTAGTATTTTATTTATCATTTTGTTGCCATTTATGCACATGTTATTGATTAATTTTGTGATATTGATGCCTCACACCAAATTTAAATTTAAAGGTACATTCAAAAAATAAATATGTTCAAAACTCATTTATATCAAATTTCTATGAGCATTCCAATTCAAAAACATTAGTCCTTCCATCTGTGATTTAGCATTTACTGGAGTTATTTATGGTTCTGCACTGTACTTGCACTCCAATCCTAGAGAACTCTTTTAAGTAGTAGCTTGGAAATAACAACAACTCCCTAATCTTATCATTTAAATATTGAAATTTGGAATTTGAAAAACCATTATTTACCATTGCTTCTTTTATTCTAGCAAGTTCATTGACTGGATTTTTACTAGTGAATGAGTAAAACTATGCTTGTCAAAACTATGAAATGAGAGCATAATTATCAAATTAAATATAATGGTAGAAATGTTTTCTGGACAAAGTTGATAAGTTATTTTTATGATAAGTTTACTTTTAAAATATATCAATGTATATAATTAAAATATATTTAACAAGTAAGTGAAATATATATTTAATTAAAATATATTAATAATTTAATAATTTAGTTAAATAATTTTGAATTAAGTATCTTCATTGAATGAAGATACTTAATCAAAAAATATTCAAATAAACCAATTATTTTATGTTTACATAAAAGTAAGAGTTTCTGGATTTTAATATTACTTGACTTACATAGTAAATGTGTACAAAAGAGAAAATTGTAGAAAATCAAATATGTAGGATTTGTTAAGTGAAATCTGTTAATATTTAATAGCTTATGTAAAAATTAATAAATAGAAATATGAAAGATTCAATCAATACATAAAAATTGATTAATGAAATATTCTTCAAGGATGAATCAAATTTTAATTTTACAGATATTCTAAAATCTACATTATACTCTTAAATATATTTTTCTTAATATTCATTTTATGATTAAAATATATTTTAATGACTACTGTAAAGAATTATAATGGCTTTCCTTATTTGCTAATCTTTCATTTCTGTATCAACTCATCTAAATAGCTTAGCAGGAAAAACGTTATAAAATAATTTAAAAAAAAAATGCAGTATCAGTTTACATTTAAAAATTATATATCATATTTACATTATAATAAATACATCCTTTGAATGCTTTTTTTTCTAGATCCTTGTAATATATCGCTTACCAGTTGCTCATTATACTTGTCAAAACTTTAAAAATAATGAACTTAAGGATTTTACATTATAGAAAAGGCATAGATATGATAATCTAATGCTTACTTTCATGTATACATATATTAATATTAATTATAATGTAATACAGTATATATATTGATTGTTTTCAAATTAATTTATTTTTTAAATTCATATAATTTTAATTTTCAGAAACTAGATAACTATATATAAAAGAAAAAGTGGGAAAACAAAGGAAAACAGAATCAAGGAAAGTTATGGCTTATAGAACAGTTTTTGTTCTTAGCAGTATTATTTTCTGGATTTGTTGTATAGAATGTCACCCGATACAAGGTAAGAAAAATCGTTATTAGTAGGATACTTTCCTGTAATAAATGTCTATTTTTAAAAATAAATTAAATATTATGTAATGTCTTTTTAAAAAAATTAATGAGAAATAAAAATCGATAACTGTAATATGTTAATATATTTTTCATGTTTAATTTTCTTATTTTTCTGTTAATTTTTTTTTCTACTTAATTGGATATTTTTGGTTAAAATCAAGTTTTAATTATGTAATGTGAGGTTAACAAACAAAAATTTATCGTGTCAATAATGTAAAAATAAAAATATTAAAATTCTTTAAGCATCTTTAGATGAAATATATGTTTTTTGTAATATTTTTATTACAAATTTTATATTTAATAAATAAAAAGATATGAAATAAATAATTTATGATGGTAATGTTTAAATTTTTGAGATAATTTCTTATAAATTTATAGAAAATATTTCCGTATTATTTGCTTGTCATTTTTTTTATTGCTGTCAACATACGGTTGTAGCCTCAACATCTGCAGAGACAATCATAATTTTTAATAACAGATAATGTAAATTACTGCCCTACTAACCAAAAATTAATCAACTAAAATAAAATAACTTTTTATTACAACTCGAAATAATGAAAAATTTTTCAATTCATTCATATGTGGTTTTTTTACATTAATTTTCACACTAAAACTTAATTAAGTTTTGAAATGTGATTTTTTTTTTATGTTCAATTAATTTTTTTTTGTAAAAATATTACATCTTATGAAATTATATTGATTATTTTAACATGAAGATAATTGTTAGGAATGACATCAATTTACTTTAAAAAATTATAATTTGGATCTTGCAAAAAAGTTAGTTAATAAATGGAATGTATATTTAATGGTTCATTTTTTTAATAGTGTAAACAATAAAAATATAAAATATTTTTATTTTAGAAGAAGAAGAAATTTAAAATTAACATAAGATAAACAATAAACAAAAATTGAGTAATTTGCTTGAAAATTTGTATACATCAGTGGTTATCAACCCGTGTTCCATGAAAACAAAAATAAGATATTAAAATTTTAATTGAAAATTTTTTCCAATGTACTACAACATATTACTTTATTCAGAGACAATTTCATGTTTACTATTTTATTCAGCACAATAAAATTTATTAGTTCATTGCTTCATTGTTTCGTGAGAATAGTAAACACAAAATTGTTTATTGACTTTTGAATATATTGATGCTAATGTTCTGTGTAATAAAAAGTATTCAAATAGTGTTCCATAGCATCAGAAAGGTTGAAAACCACTGATCTATATAATAAAACATTTATTTTTTCCATCAATATTTTTCTGTATTATTCAATATCTCTGTAAATATTACATGATTATTGTGGAGATAATGTTTGATATTAATAATATATAATATATTTCATTATTTGATGATTCTTTTTTCATCCTTATTGTATACAAATTAGTGTATATATATTTTATCATACTGTGTAATGTGAGTTTTAAGTTTTAATGCAATTTCAGATATATAATAAACAATAAAAAAGTGCAGGCATTTTATATTTACAAATTTTGAAATTTATTTTAAAAGTAAATGTTTCAAAATTTTTTTTTAAGATATTTATGATCATTTGTTGAACAATTTTTACATTATTCATTGTATATGATGTTTAAATCTATTATCACTGTGTTTCTTCAAATGCACAAATAAGTTGATTTAAAAGTAAATGTAGTATTTAAATGAATTTATTAAAGAGTAAAAATATTAATGAAGTATTTAAAATAAAATATAATAAAGATATATTTTCTGCTTATTCTATAGTTTAAAATATTTAATTACAAAGACATTTGAAGAGCACACAAAGAATATCCTGAATTTAAAGCTGGCTCCACACATTCAGTATTTGTTAATTGCTAAATAATTGTCTGTTTGTCTCCTTTGATTTAGCACAACATACCAATAATGAGTGAGAAATGGCAAATACCAAATATTACAGTAAATCATCCACACTATTCATTATTGGCCAAATATTTGCTCGGAATTCAATGAATACTAAATGTGTGGAACTGCCTTAAGATGCATCCTAATTTTGGAAACTTGAAAAAGTGCATCTTAAATTCAAAGTTATATGAGAATTATTTTTGATAATTTATTATCATAAATTAAATTAAATTAATCAGAAATTAAATAAGAGATGTTAAATCATCATTTTATTTGAGTTTCTGTTTTCTTTTGATAATTTAAGAAAGAAAAATAAAAAGACATTAAGCTTCTTTCTGTTTTCTAACAACAAAGTTCTGATAAATTTGTAAAGTACAACTAAAGACAAATTCTCAAACTGAACAATTATTCAATTTTAGAATTCAGCTAAATTGTTAGTTTTTCTATTACAGAAAAAATTATTGACTTACTATTTTTATTTTATTATCGATCAGACATACTATTCTTCAGTTCACGAGAGATTATCAATTAAGTTAACTAGCTTCTAAGTAAAAATAACTTCAAAGTAGCTTCAAAAATATCACAAAATTTGGTGAATCTAGCAATATTTTTTTCCAAAAGGAAAAAGTTTTAGTTTCTAAAAATACATAATGCTTAAATACAAATCAATGTGATATAATGCAGTACTGTACAGTGAACTCTTTCTGGAATGTCATCATTGGGACTTGGTTCAAGATTTTTGTTACTTTAAGAGTTATTAAAAGGTCAGAAACTAATGAATGGCATTTACAAAAGAATAAGGACAGAAAAAGAAGCATTTTTTTTTAATTGTTAACTATGTCTTAAGGTTTAGAAACATTAAATCAAAGAGGAATATTTATATATTTTTTAAATGGTTATAAGTTGTTATATAGTTTTTTGTTTTCTTTATTAAATTTTCAAGATTTTTGTTTTTAAAATAATTTTTGATGTTCAAATAAATATTTTTAAAACTGCTTTGTAAGGAAACCAAACTCTTTAATTCACTGAAAAAATATTTTTAGCTTCAAGTCATCTATAGTTTCAAAAACGACAAACTTTTCAGAGTTCATTAAGGAATAATGGAATAGAAATGTTTGAAATTCCTTTTAGAAATTTTCAATGCAGAACAAAATATTTAAATTATTTTCTAAGATAATCTTCAAATCTGATATGACAAAAAAAGTTCTTAAATTTAAAATATGATGTAAACTACATGAATTGAAAACAAAATAAAAATGTAACATAAATACAATATAAATTAAAATTGAATAATTAATGTAGATTATTAAGGCTCTTAGACTTGTTCTTTGCTGCTTATTTTGTTTCCTGTTTGATTCTATTAACAAGTTTTTCAAAGTTCAACTTGATCAGTGTTATTTTCCAGCTATTATGAAGCACTGTTGCATCTCTACTGTTAATGATATTAATATACTTTGACAAGCAATTAATATAAATTAGTTCCAATATTCTTAGAGGAAAGCCTTTTTTACATTCTTGAATAAGCACTGCTTCTAGATTTATTCATACACTGGAGGTTGGATGACACAATAACACAAGCTAGCAATATTTAGATCATTAATAAAAAGCAATAATGCACTCTTCAAAGGAAGAGGGAGAAATGAAATACTGAATTTATGAATAATTATGAATTATGGTTTTCCTAAAAGGATAATTATCCTTTCTCTTTATGATTAAGACATTAGTGGGTTTTTTACAGGGTTTAACAAAACTGTGTGTCAATATTTGAGGGGTCAAAAATAAGTTTACATATCATTCACAAAACCAAAAATTCAGCTTGTAGATCAAAAATATGAAAGAGAAAACAAATGTTTTGAATTGTCTTGAGTAACTGTCTTTAGGTTAAAAGACAGTGTTATATTTATAGTTTTCATCCACTATAATGTGTGTTTAATACATAAAAAGATTAAAATCCTCTATAAGCGTTTTTCAAAATCAACTTTATTTTTGAGATCTGTTCTGTCGTAAAAGGTACTTTTCAAATTTCTTGCCAAAGTTTTAACACTAACATTGTCACCTTTTTAAAGTAATTCTGTATTTTTTAAGCTTATATCCTTGGATTGAGATAAATAAATTTTGCCTAATTATGCCCAACTGTAATAAATATAAATAAAGCTTTATCCATTTTAATATTTTGCAATATCCATCTAAAAAAATAGTTGGAAATTTTTTCTGTTTAAATGTACTTTGAATAACATATTATTTTTTACAAAATTAAATAGAATCTTTTACAAGAATTGCTCAAAATGTTTTCAGATGTGGACATTTACATCTTATAAAAATAATTGAAACTCAATACTTGTATTACAACAAATTCAGTTTTCATGTATTCAAACAAAATTTCAACATTTAAAATAAAGCTTCAGTTAGTATGTGCTGGTAACAAAGATGTGAAAAACAAACAGCATTGTCAGTTCATTAGCAAATAGCATTGATGGGAGATCCAAAATTGGTTTTTGATTTTATTTATTTATTTTTTAACAGGCCACATCTCAAGAATGAAGCAGATTTTGAAAAATATTTATTCTACAGAGAATTTTAATATTATTTTTGACACTAGAATCTATCCCTAAAATATTATCATGTTATTTGTTATACCCTGTATATTGGAGAATTGATATTACTTATTAAATGTTACTTCTCTTCTATATCTATTTAATTATTGAGTATATATTTCTAAAAATATTATGGGAAGTAACAAATAGTTTTTACAATATTACCATCATTATTAAGCACCAGTTTTGCATATTTTGCATTTCATTTTTGCAAATCTTTATGAAGTGGGAGGATCAAAAATATATTCCACGATGCCAGGGAGCCATTACTCAAAATTTTAGAGGAATATTTTTGCATTATATTTAAAGTTTGATCATATTTTGCGTATTTTAAATAATTGGGCAAATTTTGACATATTTGAGATTTTACAGCAAATTAAAGTTTGAGAAAAAAACTGACAAATGGCTAGGAAAAAATACTTATTATGGAATTTATTTCAGTGTTTTGTATGAAGGATACCGAAATCACGCATACTGTAGCATGCCGTTTATTGGGAGAAGCAACTCTAGCTGATTCTGATTTGCTAAGAGAGTTAACACCTGTAAATCTAGCAGTGCTCAAACATGTTTCAATCACTACATGTAACATGGGGCATTCATTTAGCTTCAAAAAGGGTATGTCAGAAGATCAATGGCACAGACTAATAACTAAAACTTGCAGAAGATGCTGGCTTGTCGTGTGGATTTTGTAGATGAAAACTGTGAACAAAAATTCAGAAATTGTTGGTTTAAATTATAAATGTAAATTAAGATATAAAAACAAAAGTTTTTATTGTGAATTCTTTTTTATTGCCAGATATGCACGTTTTGGATTAAAAACTTGCATAAAAATCTGATGTTTAATCATTGCATTTAACATTTTTGTTATTCAAAAATATGATTACAATTATTATTTTAATTGAATCCGAGATTATTTTAATTAGAAGATTGAGTATCCTGCTTAGAAATTGTTGACGTTGTTCAGAAGCAGATGTTTTGATGGAAGTTTTTAGTAATGAACCGAGAATATAGTTTATCATTGTAAATTAAACAAACTTCTTAAAGTAATTAAAATTGAGTAGGAATGTGACTAAAAATAAATTTGAATTTAGTTTCTCACTTAAGAAATCAAATAACTTGATTAGTCACTTAATCAAATTATTTTATTTTGTTGGAGATTGTTATAAAAATTCTTACATAATTAAGTTTAAATGGCAATTAGAACATCTATAGGTTTTACTGTATAAATTGAATTCTTGAACTTGTTAAATATTAGTTAATGTTAATAGTAAAAGATGGAATTTATAAATTGTTTAAGTGTTGTTGTGTTTATATAAAGATTTTTATGTAATAAATGTAGCAAGAATGATTAAACTTATTCAAAAGTTAATGGCTTTAAAAACCATTGTAACATTCTTTTTCTTTAAAAAACTCGGCTGATCATTTTAGTGCATTGAAAAACACAGAAGAGACCAAAATGTTTTCATTTTTCATCATGTCCATTCACCAGGAACAGTAGTTGTCCATTGCAAAGATTGTCTCTGCAATGGAAGACTGCTGTTCTGGTGGTTGGACAAGACAAAAAATGAGAACATTATAGAATAATTATTATGGAAATGGATGTATACTATTCTTATTTTTGGTTAATAAAAATCAATGAGAGACCATTCTTGACTTCTAAGTTGTATTGTTGGTTATTGTATGAAAGTTGCTCAAGGATTGGTTTTCTCTATTGTGGAAAAAAAAAAGAAAAAAGTGTAGTTGCCTGAATAGGGATTTGGTCTTCCATCTGAATGCATTGCAATAAAAGATAATTTTAGAAGTTGATTAAGTGGTCTTGTTTTTTTAAAGACAGATATAATAAAAAAAGATGTGATAAAAATTGTTAATGGTCTCTCATTGATTTTTATTAACCAAAAATAAGAAGCCATTTTAGTCTCTTTTATATATTTAAAAATTTTTTCTCTTATTTTTATTATTATTAAATAATAATTTCAGGAACACTGTTGATTGGTTACATACACTTTATTATATAAAAAGAAAATGCATTTCGGGTCATTTGCCCCTCTTTGGTTCTTATTATATATATCCTCGATATGTATAATGATTGAACAGCCTGAAATGCATTTCTTTTTTATATAATATTTTCAATTAATTTTTACTATAAATAAGATTTTACCAATATTTTATAATGTTTCTAATGAACTTCTATTGATATCTGTAGTAAAATTTAAATATTTTCAATTTTAGATACAAGTTTGCCGTTTGATGATTTAACAGGCCATGCTGTAATACCATCGTTGTTATCTGTATGTTTCCTAATATCTGTTGTTGCCATATTAGGTTTTTGTGTTTGTTGTTCTAATCGTAACTTAAAGGTCAGTTGAAACATTTATTATGTATTTTTATGAATATATATTTAGTTAAATATCTAATCTAGTATAAATTGCATTCACATTTTAATTCTATTTAAAAGAATTAATTTTATTAAAAAAAAATTAGTTAAATGTAGTTTCTATTGATCAGAAAAAACAAAATTTGTATAATTTCAGTGAATAATCAATTATAACAATGTAATATTGAACGCGCAATTATTTATATCTCACTAACCTTATGAAGCTTTGCAAAAGTTTTAACTTACGACAAACGTTTTTGATATTGGTTTTATGCTCACGGAAGTGTTAGGAATCGCTCAGACAACACCTCCATGAGCATAAAACCGATATTTAGAAGAAGAAAAGCAGTACTGCCTTAGCTATATATGCCAGTGAAAACAACATTACACCCGAATTATATTAGTTGACCATGATCTGGCAAATTCAGCAGATACACCAGCCTAGGAAGTTGGAGGCATTAGAAATCTTTAAAGCAGAATTCTAAGGCTTTTCAATTAGTTTTAAGGATGAAAAACTACTCTCGACGGTGTGGCAGGCTATGTATGACTCAGCATTATAATTGCCAATGCAGGAGCACATTGTTATAGGTTTAAATTTAAAAGAAAATTAGAACATATCGAAAACGGAAATAGAATGGAAATGCACCAAAAAAGGTTTTCTCTAATAGAATTCCAACTGAAGAAGGTCCTAAGGTGGATCAAAAATGTTCATGGTACATAATTTAAAACTTTTGCAAAGCTTCATAAGGTTAGTGAGATATATATATCAATGCTTTGTTTTTTAAGATGGATTTTATCGCGCAGTTATTTATTGTGACATTGTCACAATACCGGGCTGCAAGTTTTAATCATATTCTTAATTTATTCAATTTAAAATGTATGTTCTCTATATTAAATTTGTAGTGTCTTGCCTCTGTACATCATACTTTTCCTGATAACAACAGTCATGCTACCTGGTCTCAATTTTCATCTATCTAACACTGTTTTCGAGATTAAGGAAGGACAGACTGACGGATGACATAACTTTTTAAAATTGCAGCCCAATGATTTAAAATAATTTATATATTTTACTTGTATAAATTTGAAAAATTATATTATCATGTAGCTTACAATTAATATAATTAATTATGAATAATTAAAATGCAATAAAAATTAAAATAATAAACAAAATATACTTAAGAAAATGTGTTAAAATTTACCTTATTCAAAATTCTTAAATATGTAATCATATATTACAATGGATAACTCTGAATGTTTCTCCTAATTTTGAAAGAAAGAATTCTAAAAAAATATATTTTTGGTTTTTATTTATTTATGCCGGTAGGCCAGGCATGGCCAACATACGGCCCATGGGCCAGATCCGGCCCATGTAATGAATTTATGTGGCCTGAAATTAATCTTTCAATAACAGCTATTTAACTTCCAATAATTGGTCGAATGGATTCATGATACTTCTTTATTTTTTAATAAAAATTCCATCGTAGAGATTTACAACTTTTGTACTNTATAGAAATTTTTACAAAGATGATTTATTTATTTATAATATAATAATAAATTATTTTCAAACCACCTGTGCTATATGAAAAACTTTTAAATGTCATAAGTCCACTGAACTTCATGTTATAATTATTTATAATTAAATACAAAGAAAAGTTTTTATTAGAATTTTCAATGGCTAAATTTGACAGTTCTGTTTAAAATAAGTTGACAAGTCACTTTACCTTATGATTAGATTAATTTAAATGTCAGCAGAATGTGAACTGAAATGAGACCGATTCCTCTGCACAACATCTGAGTAATTTTGTTCTACAGTATGTAATAAAGAAAAATTAGCTGTATAAATATTAATTTTGTTAACCAGAAAAACTAAATTTTCTTTAGACTTCATTAAGTAGTAGTATTTGATAAACAGATTAATCCTAATGTTTTCTTACTGATGAAAATCAGTTTGACTTTTAAAGATAAATGAAAGGAAAGAGTATTAACTTCAAAGATGAGAAATGTTTATCTTATGTATGACAGTCATTATTTCAGAAACTGTAACCCAGCACAAAATATTCCATGAAAATATTATTAGTATTTTATTTATCATTTTGTTGCCATTTATGCACATGTTATTGATTAATTTTGTGATATTGATGCCTCACACCAAATTTAAATTTAAAGGTACATTCAAAAAATAAATATGTTCAAAACTCATTTATATCAAATTTCTATGAGCATTCCAATTCAAAAACATTAGTCCTTCCATCTGTGATTTAGCATTTACTGGAGTTATTTATGGTTCTACACTGTACTTGCACTCCAATCCTAGAGAACTCTTTTAAGTAGTAGCTTGGAAATAACAACAACTCCCTAATCTTATCATTTAAATATTGAAATTTGGAATTTGAAAAACCATTATTTACCATTGCTTCTTTTATTCTAGCAAGTTCATTGACTGGATTTTTACTAGTGAATGAGTAAAACTATGCTTGTCAAAACTATGAAATGAGAGCATAATTATCAAATTAAATATAATGGTAGAAATGTTTTCTGGACAAAGTTGATAAGTTATTTTTATGATAAGTTTACTTTTAAAATATATCAATGTATATAATTAAAATATATTTAACAAGTAAGTGAAATATATATTTAATTAAAATATATTAATAATTTAATAATTTAGTTAAATAATTTTGAATTAAGTATCTTCATTGAATGAAGATACTTAATCAAAAAATATTCAAATAAACCAATTATTTTATGTTTACATAAAAGTAAGAGTTTCTGGATTTTAATATTACTTGACTTACATAGTAAATGTGTACAAAAGAGAAAATTGTAGAAAATCAAATATGTAGGATTTGTTAAGTGAAATCTGTTAATATTTAATAGCTTATGTAAAAATTAATAAATAGAAATATGAAAGATTCAATCAATACATAAAAATTGATTAATGAAATATTCTTCAAGGATGAATCAAATTTTATTTTTACAGATATTCTAAAATCTACATTATACTCTTAAATATATTTTTCTTAATATTCATTTTATGATTAAAATATATTTTAATGACTACTGTAAAGAATTATAATGGCTTTCCTTATTTGCTAATCTTTCATTTCTGTATCAACTCATCTAAATAGCTTAGCAGGAAAAACGTTATAAAATAATTAAAAAAAAAAATGCAGTATCAGTTTACATTTAAAAATTATATATCATATTTACATTATAATAAATACATCCTTTGAATGCTTTTTTTTCTAGATCCTTGTAATATATCGCTTACCAGTTGCTCATTATACTTGTCAAAACTTTAAAAATAATGAACTTAAGGATTTTACATTATAGAAAAGGCATAGATATGATAATCTAATGCTTACTTTCATGTATACATATATTAATATTAATTATAATGTAATACAGTATATATATTGATTGTTTTCAAATTAATTTATTTTTTTAAATTCATATAATTTTAATTTTCAGAAACTAGATAACTATATATAAAAGAAAAAGTGGGAAAACAAAGGAAAACAGAATCAAGGAAAGTTATGGCTTATAGAACAGTTTTTGTTCTTAGCAGTATTATTTTCTGGATTTGTTGTATAGAATGTCACCCGATACAAGGTAAGAAAAATCGTTATTAGTAGGATACTTTCCTGTAATAAATGTCTATTTTTAAAAATAAATTAAATATTATGTAATGTCTTTTTAAAAAAATTAATGAGAAATAAAAATCGATAACTGTAATATGTTAATATATTTTTCATGTTTAATTTTCTTATTTTTCTGTTAATTTTTTTTTCTACTTAATTGGATATTTTTGGTTAAAATCAAGTTTTAATTATGTAATGTGAGGTTAACAAACAAAAATTTATCGTGTCAATAATGTAAAAATAAAAATATTAAAATTCTTTAAGCATCTTTAGATGAAATATATGTTTTTTGTAATATTTTTATTACAAATTTTATATTTAATAAATAAAAAGATATGAAATAAATAATTTATGATGGTAATGTTTAAATTTTTGAGATAATTTCTTATAAATTTATAGAAAATATTTCCGTATTATTTGCTTGTCATTTTTTTTATTGCTGTCAACATACGGTTGTAGCCTCAACATCTGCAGAGACAATCATAATTTTTAATAACAGATAATGTAAATTACTGCCCTACTAACCAAAAATTAATCAACTAAAATAAAATAACTTTTTATTACAACTCGAAATAATGAAAAATTTTTCAATTCATTCATATGTGGTTTTTTTACATTAATTTTCACACTAAAACTTAATTAAGTTTTGAAATGTGATTTTTTTTTTTTATGTTCAATTAATTTTTTTTTGTAAAAATATTACATCTTATGAAATTATATTGATTATTTTAACATGAAGATAATTGTTAGGAATGACATCAATTTACTTTAAAAAATTATAATTTGGATCTTGCAAAAAAGTTAGTTAATAAATGGAATGTATATTTAATGGTTCATTTTTTTAATAGTGTAAACAATAAAAATATAAAATATTTTTATTTTAGAAGAAGAAGAAATTTAAAATTAACATAAGATAAACAATAAACAAAAATTGAGTAATTTGCTTGAAAATTTGTATACATCAGTGGTTATCAACCCGTGTTCCATGAAAACAAAAATAAGATATTAAAATTTTAATTGAAAATTTTTTCCAATGTACTACAACATATTACTTTATTCAGAGACAATTTCATGTTTACTATTTTATTCAGCACAATAAAATTTATTAGTTCATTGCTTCATTGTTTCGTGAGAATAGTAAACACAAAATTGTTTATTGACTTTTGAATATATTGATGCTAATGTTCTGTGTAATAAAAAGTATTCAAATAGTGTTCCATAGCATCAGAAAGGTTGAAAACCACTGATCTATATAATAAAACATTTATTTTTTCCATCAATATTTTTCTGTATTATTCAATATCTCTGTAAATATTACATGATTATTGTGGAGATAATGTTTGATATTAATAATATATAATATATTTCATTATTTGATGATTCTTTTTTCATCCTTATTGTATACAAATTAGTGTATATATATTTTATCATACTGTGTAATGTGAGTTTTAAGTTTTAATGCAATTTCAGATATATAATAAACAATAAAAAAGTGCAGGCATTTTATATTTACAAATTTTGAAATTTATTTTAAAAGTAAATGTTTCAAAATTTTTTTTTAAGATATTTATGATCATTTGTTGAACAATTTTTACATTATTCATTGTATATGATGTTTAAATCTATTATCACTGTGTTTCTTCAAATGCACAAATAAGTTGATTTAAAAGTAAATGTAGTATTTAAATGAATTTATTAAAGAGTAAAAATATTAATGAAGTATTTAAAATAAAATATAATAAAGATATATTTTCTGCTTATTCTATAGTTTAAAATATTTAATTACAAAGACATTTGAAGAGCACACAAAGAATATCCTGAATTTAAAGCTGGCTCCACACATTCAGTATTTGTTAATTGCTAAATAATTGTCTGTTTGTCTCCTTTGATTTAGCACAACATACCAATAATGAGTGAGAAATGGCAAATACCAAATATTACAGTAAATCATCCACACTATTCATTATTGGCCAAATATTTGCTCGGAATTCAATGAATACTAAATGTGTGGAACTGCCTTAAGATGCATCCTAATTTTGGAAACTTGAAAAAGTGCATCTTAAATTCAAAGTTATATGAGAATTATTTTTGATAATTTATTATCATAAATTAAATTAAATTAATCAGAAATTAAATAAGAGATGTTAAATCATCATTTTATTTGAGTTTCTGTTTTCTTTTGATAATTTAAGAAAGAAAAATAAAAAGACATTAAGCTTCTTTCTGTTTTCTAACAACAAAGTTCTGATAAATTTGTAAAGTACAACTAAAGACAAATTCTCAAACTGAACAATTATTCAATTTTAGAATTCAGCTAAATTGTTAGTTTTTCTATTACAGAAAAAATTATTGACTTACTATTTTTATTTTATTATCGATCAGACATACTATTCTTCAGTTCACGAGAGATTATCAATTAAGTTAACTAGCTTCTAAGTAAAAATAACTTCAAAGTAGCTTCAAAAATATCACAAAATTTGGTGAATCTAGCAATATTTTTTTCCAAAAGGAAAAAGTTTTAGTTTCTAAAAATACATAATGCTTAAATACAAATCAATGTGATATAATGCAGTACTGTACAGTGAACTCTTTCTGGAATGTCATCATTGGGACTTGGTTCAAGATTTTTGTTACTTTAAGAGTTATTAAAAGGTCAGAAACTAATGAATGGCATTTACAAAAGAATAAGGACAGAAAAAGAAGCATTTTTTTTTAATTGTTAACTATGTCTTAAGGTTTAGAAACATTAAATCAAAGAGGAATATTTATATATTTTTTAAATGGTTATAAGTTGTTATATAGTTTTTTGTTTTCTTTATTAAATTTTCAAGATTTTTGTTTTTAAAATAATTTTTGATGTTCAAATAAATATTTTTAAAACTGCTTTGTAAGGAAACCAAACTCTTTAATTCACTGAAAAAATATTTTTAGCTTCAAGTCATCTATAGTTTCAAAAACGACAAACTTTTCAGAGTTCATTAAGGAATAATGGAATAGAAATGTTTGAAATTCCTTTTAGAAATTTTCAATGCAGAACAAAATATTTAAATTATTTTCTAAGATAATCTTCAAATCTGATATGACAAAAAAAGTTCTTAAATTTAAAATATGATGTAAACTACATGAATTGAAAACAAAATAAAAATGTAACATAAATACAATATAAATTAAAATTGAATAATTAATGTAGATTATTAAGGCTCTTAGACTTGTTCTTTGCTGCTTATTTTGTTTCCTGTTTGATTCTATTAACAAGTTTTTCAAAGTTCAACTTGATCAGTGTTATTTTCCAGCTATTATGAAGCACTGTTGCATCTCTACTGTTAATGATATTAATATACTTTGACAAGCAATTAATATAAATTAGTTCCAATATTCTTAGAGGAAAGCCTTTTTTACATTCTTGAATAAGCACTGCTTCTAGATTTATTCATACACTGGAGGTTGGATGACACAATAACACAAGCTAGCAATATTTAGATCATTAATAAAAAGCAATAATGCACTCTTCAAAGGAAGAGGGAGAAATGAAATACTGAATTTATGAATAATTATGAATTATGGTTTTCCTAAAAGGATAATTATCCTTTCTCTTTATGATTAAGACATTAGTGGGTTTTTTACAGGGTTTAACAAAACTGTGTGTCAATATTTGAGGGGTCAAAAATAAGTTTACATATCATTCACAAAACCAAAAATTCAGCTTGTAGATCAAAAATATGAAAGAGAAAACAAATGTTTTGAATTGTCTTGAGTAACTGTCTTTAGGTTAAAAGACAGTGTTATATTTATAGTTTTCATCCACTATAATGTGTGTTTAATACATAAAAAGATTAAAATCCTCTATAAGCGTTTTTCAAAATCAACTTTATTTTTGAGATCTGTTCTGTCGTAAAAGGTACTTTTCAAATTTCTTGCCAAAGTTTTAACACTAACATTGTCACCTTTTTAAAGTAATTCTGTATTTTTTAAGCTTATATCCTTGGATTGAGATAAATAAATTTTGCCTAATTATGCCCAACTGTAATAAATATAAATAAAGCTTTATCCATTTTAATATTTTGCAATATCCATCTAAAAAAATAGTTGGAAATTTTTTCTGTTTAAATGTACTTTGAATAACATATTATTTTTTACAAAATTAAATAGAATCTTTTACAAGAATTGCTCAAAATGTTTTCAGATGTGGACATTTACATCTTATAAAAATAATTGAAACTCAATACTTGTATTACAACAAATTCAGTTTTCATGTATTCAAACAAAATTTCAACATTTAAAATAAAGCTTCAGTTAGTATGTGCTGGTAACAAAGATGTGAAAAACAAACAGCATTGTCAGTTCATTAGCAAATAGCATTGATGGGAGATCCAAAATTGGTTTTTGATTTTATTTATTTATTTTTTAACAGGCCACATCTCAAGAATGAAGCAGATTTTGAAAAATATTTATTCTACAGAGAATTTTAATATTATTTTTGACACTAGAATCTATCCCTAAAATATTATCATGTTATTTGTTATACCCTGTATATTGGAGAATTGATATTACTTATTAAATGTTACTTCTCTTCTATATCTATTTAATTATTGAGTATATATTTCTAAAAATATTATGGGAAGTAACAAATAGTTTTTACAATATTACCATCATTATTAAGCACCAGTTTTGCATATTTTGCATTTCATTTTTGCAAATCTTTATGAAGTGGGAGGATCAAAAATATATTCCACGATGCCAGGGAGCCATTACTCAAAATTTTAGAGGAATATTTTTGCATTATATTTAAAGTTTGATCATATTTTGCGTATTTTAAATAATTGGGCAAATTTTGACATATTTGAGATTTTACAGCAAATTAAAGTTTGAGAAAAAAACTGACAAATGGCTAGGAAAAAATACTTATTATGGAATTTATTTCAGTGTTTTGTATGAAGGATACCGAAATCACGCATACTGTAGCATGCCGTTTATTGGGAGAAGCAACTCTAGCTGATTCTGATTTGCTAAGAGAGTTAACACCTGTAAATCTAGCAGTGCTCAAACATGTTTCAATCACTACATGTAACATGGGGCATTCATTTAGCTTCAAAAAGGGTATGTCAGAAGATCAATGGCACAGACTAATAACTAAAACTTGCAGAAGATGCTGGCTTGTCGTGTGGATTTTGTAGATGAAAACTGTGAACAAAAATTCAGAAATTGTTGGTTTAAATTATAAATGTAAATTAAGATATAAAAACAAAAGTTTTTATTGTGAATTCTTTTTTATTGCCAGATATGCACGTTTTGGATTAAAAACTTGCATAAAAATCTGATGTTTAATCATTGCATTTAACATTTTTGTTATTCAAAAATATGATTACAATTATTATTTTAATTGAATCCGAGATTATTTTAATTAGAAGATTGAGTATCCTGCTTAGAAATTGTTGACGTTGTTCAGAAGCAGATGTTTTGATGGAAGTTTTTAGTAATGAACCGAGAATATAGTTTATCATTGTAAATTAAACAAACTTCTTAAAGTAATTAAAATTGAGTAGGAATGTGACTAAAAATAAATTTGAATTTAGTTTCTCACTTAAGAAATCAAATAACTTGATTAGTCACTTAATCAAATTATTTTATTTTGTTGGAGATTGTTATAAAAATTCTTACATAATTAAGTTTAAATGGCAATTAGAACATCTATAGGTTTTACTGTATAAATTGAATTCTTGAACTTGTTAAATATTAGTTAATGTTAATAGTAAAAGATGGAATTTATAAATTGTTTAAGTGTTGTTGTGTTTATATAAAGATTTTTATGTAATAAATGTAGCAAGAATGATTAAACTTATTCAAAAGTTAATGGCTTTAAAAACCATTGTAACATTCTTTTTCTTTAAAAAACTCGGCTGATCATTTTAGTGCATTGAAAAACACAGAAGAGACCAAAATGTTTTCATTTTTCATCATGTCCATTCACCAGGAACAGTAGTTGTCCATTGCAAAGATTGTCTCTGCAATGGAAGACTGCTGTTCTGGTGGTTGGACAAGACAAAAAATGAGAACATTATAGAATAATTATTATGGAAATGGATGTATACTATTCTTATTTTTGGTTAATAAAAATCAATGAGAGACCATTCTTGACTTCTAAGTTGTATTGTTGGTTATTGTATGAAAGTTGCTCAAGGATTGGTTTTCTCTATTGTGGAAAAAAAAAAGAAAAAAGTGTAGTTGCCTGAATAGGGATTTGGTCTTCCATCTGAATGCATTGCAATAAAAGATAATTTTAGAAGTTGATTAAGTGGTCTTGTTTTTTTAAAGACAGATATAATAAAAAAAGATGTGATAAAAATTGTTAATGGTCTCTCATTGATTNCTACGGACTCCGGGAAAGTAGTTCGGCTGCCCGATGACGTTTTACGTAATTATAGGAGTTTTTTTTACCTTTTTTTTACGGATACCGTCACAATTTTTTTGCAGTTTTATAGGAATCGTAATTATAGGGGGGTCGACTGTAATTAATTAATTCTGTTTTGATTAATTAAACCTTTGGTTTCTTTGGAATTGGATTAATTATGATTACAAAAAAAATCTTTGAAAATTTCCATTACCATTTACTTTTGAATTTTTTTTCTTTTTTTGAAAGACAGTTTGAATTTTATTTTCAAAGTTTTCTGCATTAAATGGACTATGATTTCAGTTTATCATTACAACAAAATAATAATTTATGTATCAAGAATTTATATGACAAATATTAAATGATCACCAATAGGAAAAGTAGTATTATATTATACGGTTTGTCTACATCTTTTTTTTTAATCTTTCAAAAATATTTTTTAATAATTGAATTTATTTTAAATTTTGCTCTTACTTTTCTGTAATATACAGGGTATCCATAGTCTGTTCACAACTTAAAAAATTTATTGCAAAGGCAATTGACAAGATATCTTAATCAGACTTGTTCTACTGTACTCAATGGTTTTCAAAGTTTTTCTACTTCATTTAATACGCCTCTATATGTGCACCATTAGACACACAAAGCACATCAAGACTGTATTCGACTTCTTGTTATGTTTGTTGTAGCATAGCCTCATTAATTAATTAATGGTTGCTATTGCATCTGTTATCTTTTGCTTTAGTTTAGTAATGTCCTATATCTTTGTTTAATACACTATATCTTTAACATAGTCTATAGAAAGAAATCCAGAGGTGTGATATCTGGTGAATGTGGTGGCCACGGAATTGGTCCATCCCTTCCATTCTAATGGTCTGGAAATGTTTAAAAAAGTCACAAACATGCAGTACCCAATGTGGTGGGGCATCATCCTGTTGGAAAATGATGGTTGGTTGAAGGTCCTGCAGTTGTGGGGCCACATATTCAGTCAAAAAGTCAAGGTAGACATCTGCATTAATTGATATCTCATGGAAGAAAAATGGACCAAAAATTTGATTGCAATGTGATTAAAAACTGAAAACCACTGAGTACAATAGAACAAGTATGATTACGATATTTTATCAGTTGTCTTTCCAATAGATCCTTTAAGTTGTAAAGAGACTTTATGGACACCTTGTATATCAACATATACATTATTTGGTGATCATTTACTTTTGGTGTTAAATTTCATCATTATAATTTATTAAAAATATGGATATCATACTTTATTCTGATATATTTTTATGGAGAAAGTTGGGTAATATTGAACTTACCGTATTAGCCCGAATTTAACGTGACTCCGAAATTTTCATAAAGATATTTAGAAAAAAATAATACTCATAAAAAAATTCAAAGAAACTAAAATTCAATCAGATAAGCATTTATTTAGGTAATTATAGCTAATAACACAGGTTACATTCATGTCAATAAAATTAAGTAATGTAAAACAAAATTAATATTACGTAAGTAACAACAAAAAACGGAAATGTTTATTCAGAATCTGAACTGTTTTCGGAATGAGAACTCATTGATGTCACATCGGTATTATCAGTATTTTCATTCACGCTTTCAGTCTCCCACAAAATGTCATCTTCCGTCCCATTTAATCATTGGAAATGCAGCATTTCTTGAAACCTTTAACTATCGATTCAGGTTCGATCTTATGCCAGGCAGTCGCAGTCCATTCTCCTAAAAGAGAGACTGAGGGTTTTTTATTTTTCCTGAAGGTGTCAATGGATGATTGCCCGATAATAGCCAATTGTTGTATTCTTTTCGAAGATTCTCTTTAAATGGTTTATTAACCACCACATCCAAGACTTGCAACTGAGAAGTCATACCACCCGGTATTATTACAAGATCGGAATTCAATGCCTCAATTTTTTCCTTAACACTTGTCGTAAGGTGGCCTCAAAATGCATCAAGGACTAGCATGGAGCGGAAGTTTCTCAGAGAACCTGGCCGTTTCCCCCATATCACATTCAACCAGTCTAATACCAACTACTCTGTCATCCAACCTTTTTCTTGGACCCGAAAAACAATTCCTGGACACAGCTTTTCTTTGGGCATTGTTTTACGTTTCAACATAACGTAAGGTCGAACCTTTGGTCCGTCAGCAGTAACAGCAAGCATAACAGTAATTCTGGATTTTTCATAACCAGCTGACTTCAATAAGACCATTTTTTTCACCTTTCTTATTTACCGTAAGATCGGAAGGCATGTCAAAATAGACTGGTGTTTGGTCTGCATTTCCCATATTTCCAAGACTGTAGTTGTGCTTTTTGCGTAATGATATAACATGGCGCTGATAAGCCAACAATTTTTCATTAAAGTCGTCAGGAAGTTTTTGCGCGAGAGTTGTCTGCCGTCTTAGTGATAAACCGTTCCTTTTCATCATTCTTCTACACCAGCGTTTATCAAAGTGGGCAATAATGCCCCCTTGTGGGCGCTGGAAGCTTTCAGGGGGGCAGTAGAAGGCTCAAAGAGAATTGGGGGGCGTTAAGGAAATATAGAGGGGCGACGGCAGACAAATTCTATATATAAAAATTCGACGGAATATATATAAAATGTTGACATTTTATATATTTTTTATTTTTTATTGAAGGTCACAACTTGAATATTTCTAACACATTGACTTTTATTTTAGCTCAGCGTTTCTCAAAGTAAGCAATAACGCCCCCTTCTGGCGCGATGAATAGATCTATGATAGAGGCAGGGTATTGAACGGTGACCAAAGGCAAAATTGGGGCTGATAAGAGGAAACATTGCGTTTAATGGTTTCCAGATGATGAGAACAATGTACAGTAAGGGCACAAAGTGTGAGATTCATAGAAAAGTTTTCCTAAGAATATTTCCAATCCTTTTCTCACACAAGAGAAAATGGGTTAGGGGGCATTGGGTATAACTTTATGGAACAAAGGGGGCGATGGATCGAAAAAGTTTGAGAATCACTGTTCTACACCAACCCATACTTGCCTTAAAGTCCTTTCTAGGAATGTTTAAATTAGCAGCCTCTTCTAACGCTTTAAATCTTATGACTTCACGGTATCTTGGGCACCCTTCATTTCGCTTTTCTATTACGAATTTTAACACTCGCTGCTCAACTTCATTAAACCTTCCTTTTTTAGGTTCACTAAAAGATTTTCTTGAAGAATTTGCATTCTTATATTTCCTTAAATCTTTTCTCCATAGGCAGATGTTTACTTCTGAAACTCCGTATTTCCTCGAAGCTCTCAAGTTGTTCGTTCTTTCTGCCTCGTTTGCAACCATAATTTTAAAATTCATATCATAGGTTCACCTGGTATCTTTATATATTTGACTCTTTGATGAGCCTTTTTTCTCAACACTACCTTTATTACTCGCACTCATTTTTTATGGGCAATAAAGAAAAAAGTAAAGTAACCATCGCTAGTCACTAGAGCAAAAAACAAATGAAACAAAACAGTTGTGTGAGACGTTAACAAGCGGAGACATAGCCTTACTATAGTAGCGCTATGCAAACAAAAGCGCAGGCCTACTACCGATAACTAGATCACATGGTTGTTTTGAAGTGGTCGGTCGAGCTAGGAATTGGTCGGACGTTCAGTCGCGTTTCAACCTCTGTAGGAAAATGTCCTTGTTTATATGACATTCCATTACTTAAACTCCGAATTTAGCGCAAGTCGATTTTTTAATGGAAAATAAATGGTCGAAAAATATCGCGTTATATTCGGGCTAATACGGTATATATTGAACATGATTACATTATATCATAATGATGACATGCAATTATTAATACTTCAACCTGTATGATATTTAATTTACTGTATTTGGTTGCAATAATATATGTCTGTGTAAGCATTTTCAAACAAAATCCTGATTATTGCTAAGATGTTAAAAGATTCATTTTGAAATTTAAGTATGAAAATTTTTCTAGATTAAGTACCGTATTTTGACGAGTATAAGTCGCTGTCAAGTATAAGACGCACCCCTATTTTGAGACAAAAAATTTAGAAAGAAACTTTAATGGGATTGTCTAAAGATGCATTTTATTCGTTTTTTTATTCAAGAATATGACAGATGGATGAATCAATACCTTTATTAAACTGAAATAATCGTCATTTCTTAATGTAAACTCAGATGTCACGTGATGACAGTCGACAGAACATGGCGGCGATGACTCGAGTGTTGCTACTCTGATAATCTAGGTACTCTAGCCATTCGGTTGAGGGACCATCTGCTTAATGGACCACTGCACAGGTTGGTCCCTAGAGTGGACCACTACTGTAGATAATTTCACTGTAAAAGTGGTTACCTGTCGAGTATAAGACGCACCATGATTTTGAGCTCCGAAAAGTAGTAAAAAAAGTGCGACTTATACTCGTCAAAATACGGTAAATAATTTAAACAAAAATATTAAATATAGTAATTTAATTGCAGCATTATTAATAAATTTTATCTTAACTTTTTTAAGTGAAAATATTTCTTAATTTTTAAAAAAATATTTATTTTAATAGATGATTCGACGTATAAATACTTTCCAAGAAGTAAATTACAATATCATCAAGAATTAGGAACATGCTGGTTTGGACAAGTTGTTTCGGGAGAAGCACAAAATATTGTTGAGAATGAAATAGTTACAAAAGTAATTGTAAAAATCTTAAAACAAGATGCTACTCCTACTGATTATGTTCATTTTCTACAAGAAATTCGTCCTTTCAGGTAAATAATTAAGTAATTGTACCAATATTTTTTATCACAAATTTATATTTCTAGCAAAATAAGATCTTACAAGTATAAAAAATAAAATATATTATTATTATTATGTTTGCTTCTTGTCCAATTTTATTCTTAATAGCTATTAAGAGTATTGCATGAAAGATATTTTTCTCCATCTAAAGTTTCTGCAGACAATAAATGCTATATACAAAATACTTGATTTATGTAAAACTTGTATCATAAAAAAAATTATTAAGAAAAATGTGATGCCATATATATGCAAGACTAGCGATGAGCCCGGCGTTGCTTGGGCAAAAAATAACAACAGCAAAGATAAGATTATTAGATTATTTTGTACTTCTAACCTTTCTACTATATTATTGTATTTGATTTATATTTATAAAGGTTATCTTATATGAGTTTATCACACCAAGTGTCCAGTCTAACACATTTTAAAAATTCTTTAAATTGTGTACAGTAAAGGAATACAGAATTTTTAAAATATGTTAGATTGGGCACTTGGTGTGATAAACCCTTACATAAGATAACCTTTATAGTTACATAGTTGATCTTACCCATTTTAATTGGGTGCAAGAATTAGGTTCCCCTCTTCTGAGGCTAATTAGAGAATTTTTAGATGGGTCTAAAAATATGTCTGATTTCCAGCAAAAATGCAAAAAACTACATCTAAAATAGTACAGTAGAATCAGTATAATCCTTAACCCTCTTTCTCTCCCCCATGGGGGAATTTCCAAAAATCCCTTCTTAGTGTGCATTCTTATGGCGTACCCTAACTGTGTACCAAATTTCAATTTTCCCCTCTTAACTGTTTCGGCTCTGTGCTTATTATCATCGTTATTATTATTATCAACTCGTCTCAATTATAAGATACATTAAATACATTTGAATCAAATCTCTCACTTTTCTTTCTATCATATTTAGTATTTAGTAAACATTTTTTAACTGAAACATTATAATTTCTTAGTTAGATAATTACACAAAAAGGTATTTTGTATTTTGAGTTAAAAATTTAGTATAGCCTTTAACTGTATTATATTTAATTTTTATCATCATAGAGAAAGGACATACTAAATATTTAACACTAAATAAATTTATTTAATAGAAATATAAACAACTTCCAGTTCAATTTCCAATAAGAAATGATTATTGTCTTTGTAATGTATTTGGGAACATTTTTATTTACACTAGCTATACTTAGTCAAAACTTATAGATATTTAAATCAAATACTGATACCAAAATGTTTTAGTTCCATGAATTATTTTCAGATTATAGTTTTTTTTTTGAATCTTTATTAAAATTATGCAATGGAATGAAAATTGAATACAATTTAAGAAAATGAAAAAAAGTAAAGCGATGCTTATATTATTTCTAAATAAGTATCTGATTTTATGAAAAAGATATTTATTTAATCTTCATATTTAAAAGGGAAAATGTAGAGAAGATTTAATAGCAATACTGTGATCATATTTAATCTTAAACACAATAATTTATATGAATAAACTATTGGTTTTTATATATAGTATAATTCTGCAGATTATATTTTAAATATATTATTATTTTTCTATCTTCTCTTATTAAAAATAATAATAAATATAATTTGTAAAAATTAATATGATATTAATTTTTGTTTTGTATAGAGATTTAAATCATCAAAATATAGTCAAGCTTTTGGGATTTTGTTTAGAAAAAGATCCTTATCTCTTTATTCTGGAACACTCTATAGTGGTAAGTTTGTAGATATTATAAACAAATGTATATAGTAAAGTATGAATATTTGTAATACATTCTATATTGTACTGTATTTTATTAAAATATTTTATATATGATATATTAAAAAACATTGGCATATTATTTTTCTCATTCTGGTTTGTATTTAAAATTATATTTTAAAGATATCAACATTAAAATCATATGTTTATTTTTTGGTTTATATATTTTTTATTTCTCTAGGATCTAAAAACTTATTTAATTAATCATTACAATGAAGCTGATTCTTTATTACAAGATGGATATATTCTTCATCTTGCTTGTAATATAGCTGATGCTCTACAACATATGCACGATCATAACTTTGTTCATATGTAAGTTTTAATTATTTATTAAAAATATTTAAAAATTAATTTAAAAAAAAAACAAATATTTATCATATATGTTTAAAACATCAATTTTGACATTTTATGAAATATTTTTGTTATGAACCTTGATAGATAATATAAACATAAAATGGGCAAATTTTACAGCAATTAAAATTTAATATTACATAAATAGAAAAGTTAATACTTGTCTAATGCTATAAATACAAAAAATATCATATTCAATTAAAATTTTTTCAAAACAATTGACTCTTGAACTGTTTTGTTTGTCAGATGGATAAAATTGAATAATCTCAAAAGCATTTGGAAACATCAAATTAAAGCTTGATTTAAACAAAATATATTATTTAATCTTCATATTGTGTAAATCTTAAACTGTCCTTTATTGTAAACAGTAATTAAATTTAAAAAATTACTGTTTCTTTAGATAACCAAATTCTTTCAGGCCAGTTTCAGATTATTTAAGTTTTCTGAATTGTTAATCAACTAGCATTTTACCAAATTTAACTTTTATTATTTAAACACAAATTAAACTGAAAATGATAATATTTCCAACAGTATTTGAATGATTATATATTTGCATAAATCTTAATACACTTTACATTAACATTTTTGATAATAAAGCTAAATTTGTTTTATGTTTAGAGTTAAATATATTAAGTTGCACACTTACATTTTATATCAGTTTTTATAATAAATTGACGTAAAAGTAAAATGATGTAATTCCAAAATGAATAGGATTTCAGTTAAGATTTTGGATTTGCTGTTAAATACAGTTGAGTTTTAGTCTAAATAGAATTATGAGGCAGGATGGCCAAATAGTCAAGGTGGTAGCCTATTGCTCTGGGAGGGAGACCTGGGATCGAATTTGGATGGATCGAAAAATCCCCAGAAATTTTTCGGGAATGGTTTGGCAGATATGTCGGCCCCCGTTCCTCATCACCTGGCTGCCCCATTGTAGGTCTGGCCAAATCCATAATGGACTTGCTAAAAGATGCCCTCTTAGTGCCCACAAGGTGGGGGAAAAAAAATTATCTAATTATCAAATACAGAGTTAATATATATCTTTCATTCAGAAAAAAATATTATTTTGCATTAAGAACATTATAATTCAAGCTAGGATATTTCACACAAAAAATGTGAAAAACAACAATTAGAAGATATTAAAACTGAAATATTTTCAGTGCATAATGAACTTAGATTAACTAATTAATAAAACTTTCTTTAATTAAATTTAATATTATTAATAATTAGTATTGATTAATATTTCAATAATTTTAAATATATTCACAGGGATTTGGCAGCAAGAAATTGTTATTTTACATCTGATTTTGTAATAAAACTTGGAGATTATGGCACTTCTGTACAAATACATAAGGTAATGTGTTATAAATTTCAGAAAATTAATATAAAAATTATAATTTATTAATAATATCTTGGTTATAACATTGCGTATTTTCAATATTATTGTAATTGTTTTAATATTACCATCACAAGCAATTATTTATTGTGACATTATTACATTGCTGGGCTGAAAGTTTTAATTATATTATTTTAAATTTATTTAATTTAAAATACATGATCTCTCCATTTTAGTAGAACCTTGCCCTTGTACATCATATTTTTGCTGATAATAGTAGTCATGCCGGTCAACTATCTAACTCTGTTCTGACAAAACTTTTTGAATTGAAATATATACTGGTCTATACTGGAAGTTTGTATATAGTTAATCTGGGCTCTTGCCCCTAATATTTCTATATCTGGTCTTGTATTTTATCTAACACCATTCTCAAGATCAAGGAAAAACAGACAGATAGATATGACAGTGGAAATTTGTCTACAATTTTTTCAAATTTCAGCTCAATTAAATAAAAAGTATTGAATTTTAAAGAAAAATTAAATATTATATAATATAAAATGGGGCAAGATTTAATTGTACAAGGGATTAGAGATTAAGAGTAATAAAAACAATTATCAGTATTTATAATGTGATATTTAATAATAATAATATAAATATACTGTAAGTAAATAGCATGTCTGGTGAGAACCTGACAAGTTGCCAGATAAGTTTTATAAAAAGTAAAGCAGAATTCCTCAAAATATAGTCCAAATTGTTTTTAAAGTGGCCTAAAAAACAGTAACTCATCCAAATTTACTAGATTAGGGCCTACGGACATCTCAATCTGATACTTGTAGCCCAATCTTGCAATCCCAAAAAAACCAGTTTTGTTTTACGAGATAAGAGGAAAAAAAAATAGTTCATGTGTAAGGTGACACCCGAAAATGTGTTACTGTACTTCAACACATTTTCAGGTAACACATACTTATGAATTAGCAGTCACTGGTGACCAGATTAGAGCTGTTCTTTGTCTACTGTTCCCTTATAGTATAAAGACACTTTGATCTAAATGAGCAAGTTAATGTACACATATCACACTTCAAACAGAGTTTTCACTTTGAATTTTGAACTAACTGAATTCTTTAACTTGTAAATCCCTGAGTCCCCAGCTAGGACAAGTGGTACAGTTACAAACTAACAGAATTTCAACTATCCAAGTTTGAAATAACAAGGATTTACTGTAGTGTATCTGATAAATTAATATGGTGTCTTCCAAAAAGAATGCTACTGTTATAAATTACTGTAATTATATCAATTATTATCTGAGAAGTATGCATTATACACCAATTGATAAAGTAACTATTTGAGTTTCATCTACCATGTACAGTACATTCAAATGTCTTGTCATCTGCTTTCTAGAGGTAGCAGACTAGATGTTTGTGTGCAGATGGTAGATGATATTTACTCTATTGATTCGTGTACATCATATACATCTTAGGCAGTAATTAACATAATTACAGTAATTTAAAATGGTATCATTTTTTTGGAAGGTCCTGTATATTATACAGTGATTTTTTTTTTTGTAATCAAATTACTGAATAGTATTGATTAATTTATGTTGTTTTATAATAATTTTTTTCTAACAGGATGAATATTACTGCCGTGGAAGCATTGCTTTACCTCTAAGATGGTGCGATCCTGATTCTCTTACATGTACTGCGAGTATCATAGAAACAAAAGAAATTAATAAAACTGCCAATATTTGGTAAGCAATTCAATTTTGATTTGCTTAATCTTTTTATTTTATTTATGAATTATTATAAACATAAAAAATAGTACATAGTTGATGTATGATTTGTTCCCACATTTCCAATATATAAAATTTTCAAACTCTGTATTAATTTTAATTAATTAAATATATTTAACTCTAAGTGTCGGTTAAGGTTAAAAAATTGTAACATAAGTTGAAGGAAGCATTGAAAAACAAAATGAATCAAATAAAATCTAATTAATTCTTACAAAGTACTGTTATTATGTACACAAATAGTGCATAATTATCACCTTTTTTTTGGTTTAAATGCTAAAATATTTGAGAATGCATAATATTTTGACTTATTTAAGTGCAATGACATTTTGTTTACAGTTCTGAAAATTAAGAATTTGAACTTGAAACAGTTTAAAGCTAGCAAATTTTTTAATAAAATAAATAAATATATATGAGATGTACAGTTTCAAAACAGCCAACTCTACTTTTCTGGGTCTGAAACAAGGACTGTGAATGTGGCTGATTTTGAATCTCCAATGTTTATCTCCTATTTTGTTTGTAGCTAGTTTAGAAATTTATAATACTTGTCATTGAAAAGAGAAGAAAAATACATAAGATTAAGTGCTTACCTAATTTTTCTAAAAGGTGGACTTAACCGATTTTGAAATTACATCTCATATGCATATATTGTATTTCTTGTTTAAACATTTTTATCAAGAGAGAATGACAAAATAAAGTGAATGCTTATTACACCTTAACTAGTCATTTATCTTATAAATGACTTATAATAAGCAGAGAAAATGAGAAAATCTCTATTTAAAACTGGTTTTGATACTGAATATTGTTTTGATTGCAGTAATAATTTTCAATATCTCTACAGTTTAGATATATACATTTACTATAATGTACTATATTCTTTTATTCATTTTAAGTAATTGCTTGAATACAAAAGGAATTTAAACAAATTTTTACAATAAAAATCAATTGTTTAGAATTTGTATTTATTTTAATTATTTATTTCAATTATTTATTTCTTTAGGACATTTGGTGTTTTTTTATGGGAATTGTTTGAATTTGGAAAATTGCCATATTTTACATTAACAGATGAAGAGGTTTTGCAAAAAGTTATATTAGAGCATAACTGTTTATTAGAATCACCTAACAGATCATTTGTTCATAAAGAAAGAATGTAAGTATCATTTATTACAGATTATTTTTATTACCGGAAATCTTTATATATGTAAACTAGTGAATTTTTATTATTGTCAGTCTTGGGTTCAGCTTCAGTTTAGAGGTTTGTTAGAGATGACCTTACAGCTCTTACTACTATAAAATTTGTTCCTTCTTTATCTAACAGCTTTCTTTACATACAAGATTCACTCTTTAACTTTGTGAATACCTCCACTTATTACTCAACAACAGTCATTAAAAACTATTTTTATAATTTAATTAATATAAATTAACAATTTAGGCTAATTAAGTCAGAACTGTTGCTTTTAAAAGAATTCTATTTGAATGGTTTCTTTTCAGCATTACACCTTTTCTTAATTAGAGATTTTTGAATTCCTGCTTTGATTTTGATTTGTGATCAATCAAAAGTATGCTCTTTAAATTTAAACATTTTTATGTAAAATTTATTAGAATCAAGATATATCTAATAAATAAATGAGAAATTTTGTTTGTTTGTTTCTGATATTATTCTATCTATACAAGATTTTTGTAGAAATGTTTGTGTTCAGATTGGTGGTGTTGTCAGATTTCATCTTTTCTCTCAATGTTTTTGGAAAATATATGTTTCTTTCTTATTTACTTATTTTTCTATAAACCAGTGGTTTCCAAAGTGGGTGCTACTGTCCCCTAGAGGGTGATAAGTAAATCTAGGGGGACAAAAAGAAGCAGGGATGTGGCAGGGCACTGGACACATGGTCCTGACCAAATAATAGGTGAGGCTTCAAGTCACTGATGGCATTTTTTTTCCTCCAATAAAACGGGTAAGAAGAAACGTTGCATTTAACATTTTCATATATTGAGAACAATTTACGGTAAAGACACAAAGTATGCAGTTCATAAAAAAATTTTTCTAAGAATATTTCTAAGCTTTTCTCACACAAGAGAAAATGTATTGGGTGTGTTAGATATAAGTTTATGGAACAAAGGGGACAGTGGCTCAAAAAAGTGTGGGGATCACTTCCATAAACTCTTCTTATCATATTTTATAGAAGAATTGACAAAAGCCCATAAATTTCTTTTAAATGATCATAAAAGTTCATTTTAGCAAATATATCATTTTAGTTTCTGACATAAAATCTAATGATGCATAAATATTTTGAAACTGTTTACTTAAGAAATAATACTAATAAGATTTTTTTATCTTCTTTTGATATTTCTTTGAAATATAATGATTTGTTGAAATATATCATTTTAAAGTATTTTGTTGCCAATTGCTTTACTAAGAATTACTTTCTTTGTTGTTTGTGAGAAATTTTTTAATCTTTGTGAATATTTCTGTAAAATACAATGAAATGAATCTATACAAAAATATATAAATAAAATTAAATTTATTTTATTAAGAAAGGATTGAAAGAAACATGACAAAATTTATAACACTGCAACAGAAGTAATTATTTGATGTGTATGTCAATAGTTGCTGACTACCACATATAACAACATTTAATGCAGTTGTGTAGTTTTTGAACCTGTTTGATGATTTCTTAAATTAACCAGCATATCAGGGTTCATAATATAATATAACCAGTTTTGTATAATATAAAAAAAAATTGTCAAGAATGATGACATAAATGTATAATTGTGATATTCTTTAATAATTAACACAGTTAGCTTACTGTATTTGCAAAGATAAAATTAGGAATTACATATTTTTCCTGGAAATTTATTATTTTCATTCATATGTATTTTGTATTTAAATTTTAATTGTTTATCAGATACAACATTCTCAAATATTTACCATAGATTATATATATACATTAGCTTTTAAGAGTATATGGCCAAACAAATTGGTATAATGTTTTTATAAAATATATATGTGTGTACAGTAGAGCATCGATTATCCGACATGTCAAATTTTAAATGTCCACTAGTGATGTGGCACTACAATATTTGGCTATGTCTTGGCTACTTTAATATTATTTTTGTTAAATTTTTGCATGTTTTAGCTGGCAACATGGCTCGACCATTGAAGGGAGTCCAGTATTTAAATGAGATTTAATTTTCTAATTATGAGTTGTTTGTTTTGTGAGCAATAAAATAATTTAAAAATAATTTTTAACGATACAATAGCAACGATTATTATTTTAAAAAAAAATTGTTAGGCTTAACATCGATGAAAATTCAACGCAAAGTTGGTTAATAGCGATATACTAATATACCATACTAATAATGTATTTTTTTCATTATTTTCGGTTATCCGATTTTTTCAGTTATCCGACCAACCTGAGTCCCCAATTTAGTCGGATAATCGACTCTCTACTGTATATGTAAATCTGTTGGCCATTACCTTATTAACATTAGGTAACTTGTTCACAATAGATATCAGTATTCTGAAACTTTTAATTGAAGTAATTGAAGAGTAATTTTAAAATTATTGATATTATTATTATGAAAGAAAAATTAATGAGTAGTAGCAGTAAATTAACACTGTTTTATTTTTATATTTAAGTTACAAATCTAACAGTTTTAAACCAAAGAGAAGTTTTTATGAACATTTTTGGTTGTTCATCTCTATAATGAAATAAGAAGTTTCTAGAAAATACTATATTGGAAAATGCTAAACTAGAGCAAGAGTGAATATCGTAAACTATGTATGAACTGGCAACACCCTGCATAAGACAATTCAAGGCAGAAAGAAACATTGTTCAGTTGCGCACCAAGTTATCAATGAGTGATGAAGTGTATATACATAGTCTTAGATCAGAATAAAGTTTAATTATAAATTAAAGGATTGCCTCAGCATTGTTCTAACAGTTTTAAACCAAAGAGAAATTTTTATGAACATTATTGGTTGTTTATCTCTATAATGAAATAAGAAATTTCTCTGTACAAATTTGTTTTGTTGTAAAAAATATCAATAGTACTTGTCAGTACTGGTGTTCAAAATTATTGCAAAAACACAAAACTTGTGTAAAATCAATGCCACAAAACATAAGTGGCTGAAACTTACATCATGTGTAAATCAGTAAAGTCACTGATTTACACATCCTATCACATCAGTGTCATGCAAATGAAACATAATTGCAGTTAACCTGTGAAAAAATTAATGATTCACTGTATTTATTGTGAAATTGTTTCTGACAAAACAGTTGTCTGTCTGGACCAGGGGTCGGCAACCTTTTGAGTCGGAAGAGCCAAAAATTACAATTTATAAAATTTCAAAGTTTTTAAAGAGCCACAAAATGTTTTCTTGCCAACAATAAATACTCGCATAAATAAAGTTTTTTGATAAAAAAAAACTAATCTATTTATTCATAAGAAAAATTGTCTTGCGTCGAAAGTGAATTAAACCTCATAGAAACATCCGATGACGGTGTCATTCGAGAGCTTCTGACGGACTGACGACAGTGATGACGCGAGTCATGGGGGAGGGGTGCGGTGAAAAGCGAGTACAAGTGGCTGAGAAATAGAATCGGTGCCTAATCCTTGTTAATCGATTCAGAACGATTTTTAAATGTTTTTTTTTTTTGATAAAATAAATAATATTTGCGTATGGAACTAAAAAATTGTCTTGCGTCGAAAGAGAATTAAACCTCATAGAAACATCCGATGACGGTGTCATTCGAGAGCTTCTGACGGACTGACGACAGTGACGACGCCAGTCACGGGGGAAAGGTGCGATGAAAAGCGAGTACAAGTGGCTGAGAGATAGAATCGGTGCCTAATCCTCGTTAATCGATTCAGAACGATTTTTAAATGTTTTTTTTTTTTGATAAAATAAATAATATTTGCGTATGGAACTAAAGAGCCGCAGCTTCACATCCAAAAAGCCGCATGTGGCTCGCGAGCTGCAGATTGCCGACCCCTGGTCTGGACTGTTAACAATGAGGAAGTGTTTCTGATACATTAGTAGCTTATCAGGCATGCCTCAGAAAAAGCAGTTGGACGATTTGCTGTGATGGAGGACCATTCATTTTTGCGGTTTTGTTGTGTACATTTGTGTATTTGTTACTTTGTTACTTTAATTTTGGAGATGAGTCTATTACACAAAATTATATTTTTAACAACAGTTCTTTGTTAACATTATCAGTTTAATAACAGTATATTGTTCTTTACTATTATGTAATGAATTGTACATATATGAATTTAAATTTGGCACCATATTCAAATATCTAAAAACAAACTGCTAAGTTTAGAATAGTTATACTTTGGAATCACTTTGTATTGCCATGTTATGAATTATTTCTGTAGGAAGGAACATCAATCTATACCAATGCTTGCTTTGCCTTGTCAAACCATCTTTATTTCATTAATTACTATAGGTATGTTTTGGGAACCTTCATACCCTCTTCAGTAGGGTTCTCATTTCCCGGTCTTTTGTTTGTCTCGGGATTTTGGGAAAACAGTGAATTGTTTCCCGGGATTTCCTGGAATCCCGGGATAGAATTAATTATTTTTAATATATACAGAATATCTTGAAATCAAATGATACAATTATTTTTAATTTTTTTAAAGTAATTTAATACATTCTGCAACCTCCAAAATCATATTAATAATCCTGTGTGTGAGATATATATATTAAAAATTACCTTTGAATTATGTAGAAATTTTCACAAATAGAAAAATTTATTAAAGTTTGCTGGAAACTGCATACAACAATAACAAAAAAAAAAAAAAAAAAAAAAAAAGCTTTGAATTGAGTTGAAAATTTAAAAAAATGAACTTAGATCAAACTTCTAACTTAAAAGGTAGTTTTTGTTTTTTAAATAAAAGAAAACACAAAATAATATTGTAAGTTTTATAATAAGATTTTAAAAAGCAAAGATGGTCAATACTCCAATCACTCATTCTGATTCTTATTTTAGTAATGAAAAATACTGCTACTGAGAATGCTCTTTCTGATTCAATTAATTGGAATCATGCTTAATGCATTTAAGAGAAGACAGATGTTATGCGGTTTTTCACCTGTAGCCTGTAAGATTTCTAGTTCGTTTTCGAGATGTAGTACTTCTTTTGCTCTCTAGTATTCTTGATTTGTCTACCTCTGCTGCTTTAATAGCAGCATCAAGCTTATAGCCCAATAATTTGGCATTTCATTTGGCTTTAATAATCAGGTTTATGAAGAAAAACTTCATACTTGCATACTTCATACTTGTTTGTATCCGTGACCAAATTTGCACAACCAGACATAATGCAGTTATTGAAGCTACTGGGCATGATTAAAAATTAAGACAGTATTGGTGAAATTATTCAAGATATTACAGGTTCTGATAAGTAATTTTCAGAGTCCTACCACATATAGGCTACATATTGATTACTAACAATCTGTGACATGCCATAACGAGCAAAAATTTAAAAAAAACTAATAAGTAGATTTAAAATTAATAAATACAAATTGTATTCTGATAGTTTATGAGTTAATTATACTTTCTATTTGCAAAATTTTCTCATCCTTAACACAAAATAAGAAAAAAGTGAACTTTTAGGAAATTTGCAGGATTTTCTGGGATGAGAAGGATTTTCCTGGGTTAAAAAAAACAACCGGGATCTCGTTTGAGAAACCCTACTCTTCAGTATGGCTCATTTTTCCTGTGTTTTTTCTTTTTTTGATAAAGAAGAGAAAATTTTCAAAATATATCTATGGTAATTGATGAATTAAAGATGATTTGACAAGGCAAGCATTGGTAGGGATTTGATGTTTCTTCCTATAAAAATAATTTATAAGATAAGATAATCAAAGTATTTGTTCTTTTGGAAAAGAAATGTTTTGAACTAATTTATTTCTAAAAATTTTTGATTTATATCCAGGTTCTTTTTAGAGAGCCAATACGGACTAAATTAGTTCAAAAACATATATATTTAAAATCATACTGCTAAGTTTGATATTAGATATTTATTATTACATATTTGTTGTTAATTTTATATATATTTGCATTTATGATATAAATGAGAATTTTTTTTTTATACTTTAAGTAATACAAATGTATTTTTGTTTTTAATACAGCTATCAGATTATGCAAATGTGTTGGAGACAAGTATCAGCAAGACCTACAATTCATGAAATTTGTGTTCTTCTTAACTATTTATACGACAATAAAAATAAAATACCAAATTCGGCTGTGTTTGAAGATAGATGGACTGCTCTTCAGCCCCAGATTACAGAACATAATCTTATCGTTCCGTCAACTAATCAAGTTATCTTGAAATTTGAAAATGATTTTGTTCCAAGTTTACAGAATGAAATAGATTGTAATTCCGACAGAGATTCTTTAACATACAATTCTATTATAAGTGATGGTGAAAAAGAAATAACTAAAGTTCCTTCGAAACACCAAAATTTACAAAGTAGTATTGATATATTTTATGAAACTGATGCAACAGAAAATGTTTCTAATGACAATTCTGATGTTAATTTTAACAAATGTTTGTATAGTGAACAGAATACAACCGATCTGCCTGAATTGAAAGTCGTAAATGTTCCGTTTGTTTCAGATTATTCCGAGAATTTACAAAAAGGACAACAATTTGAAATGACCGAATGTAAAGTAACACACAATACATTTCAGGCATCCCCATTCGACGAAGTAAAAGTTGAAAAATGCAATCTGGACGATCGAGAATTTTGTAACAGCAAATCTATACAAAAAGTAAATCATAATCATAATTTAGTTAATAGCGAATCACCCAAGAAATCTGAAAACAAGGATTCTTGTTTCATTACCATTGAAAAAAATGATATTTTTACAGTAGAAATAGATAAAAATTTAAGAAATGACGACACTTACAATAAAAATGAAACTCAGTTATCTACTTTTGATGATTTAAAAGTGAAATTTGATAATGTTTCATTAAAATCCAATTTGAATAAAATAGAAAATGATGTTTGTGATTATTTAGAAAATACTGTGATAGAAGATTTTGATTGTGATGTACAGGAAGAAACAAATCAAAAATCTAATTGTGAAAACATGGATACTGTTGATATCTGTGATAAAAAGCAAGATATTAAAGTAAATTTTGATAACGAACAAGATAATTGCAAAGATAAATTACAGCATGATGTTACACTTGAAGAGAAAGATAATTTAATTTGCAAAAAAGTTATCAATGAGAAAGAAGTTGATAATAATTCAGTTATATCAAATGATGAGACAGCTAGAAAATTAGTGGAAGAGTCATTAATATTTAAAAATGATGAAACGAGTCCTTCAAACAAAGGAGCAGCTTTAATAATTGAAAATAAAATAGTGGAAGATATTGACGAAGCTACAGACAATGAAATTTTGAATAATTGTACTTGTATTAATGTTTTAAAAGAATTATCAAATAATTCTGATTGTATTTTATACGAAAATTCACCATTTGACATTAGTGCCGATATTAATGATTATAATTTAAATGATTCCGAAAATTTTAATACTGAAAATATATTTAATGAAGAAGAAGAAAATGAACCTTGTTTAGATTCTAGAGAAATAGATTTTGATATATCAACCAAGCAAAAAATATTCAAAAATGAACTCTGTGAAGACGAAGCTGATCAGAAACATGAGGATGTTAAACAGTTGAATAATAGTAGAGAAAATTCAAGCAATAATTCTCCTGAAATTTGTAATGCGAATGATATAGATGAAAGTGTTATATTAAAGAATAATATTGAGTTATGTTCTAATTTGTTTATAAATACTAGCTCGTCTGTAGATCTTAAGCCATTCTCGACAGAAACGGCTAAATTAAAAATGGAAACAATACCCGAGAGAGTAGAAAGCTGTAAAGAAGAAAGCTCGTGTGATATGTCGTCATCATCTGAACAATTTATTGGTTCTATGGACAGTATTGAACAAGAAAATTTAGGTAAATGCGAAAGCTTTAAACAAAATGTGTTTGAACCCATTGTGGTCGTAAAACATTGTAGTGTAAGTTCTGAAGGTGACGAGTATAATTTAGATGATATATCTGAAGCATTAAATGAAATTAATGATGTTAATAATATTGAGATCTTCAATTCGGCAATGCAACCCGAATTTTCAGATTTAAGAGATTGTAATAAGGATATAATAATAGAGAATTCAAATAGGCCGGGACCTTCTCAACCCTTGTCAGATCACATGTTTGCTACCTGCACAAATTACTGGAATGATAAAGTGCAATTAATAAATAATTCAGATATGAAATTACATGAAGAAAATTGTAAATCACATTGTCATAAAGACGTCGTTACTCTCGAAGATTTAGATACAGTCGATAAAAAGAATGTTATTTCGTGTTATGATACTTTCCAGGATCCATTTGAAACTGATGAAGTTTTGAGAGTTGATACCGAAACAAACGTTGCAGTTTTACTTGATTCATCTCAATCTGTTATCGGATTTGTCCCATCTAAAATTGCAGATATGTCAAGTAAACAGTGTATGATCGATATTCAAGATAATGAAATTTCATCACCTTCCGAAACACCGAATTTGCCTAAACTTGCAAATAGTTTTTGCTATAACGGTTACAAGACTTCGGATATTTCAACCTCCAGTAGTTGTTCTGCTAGTTCGGATCTTTCAGTTGATTTAGATAGGCAGTCTGAAACCTCTAGCGAAAGTGACATGGTGCCGGAGGCAAATTCTATGAACAACTCTCATTCCTATGCAGAAAGTATAGACGATGTACATTTTTCTCAAATAAGTTCTGAAAATACCTCAGATTTGCTAACAGTTAATGATGTTAACTTATCATTCGAAGCATTAGAAAATTTACTAACAAAAGCAAATAATGCAAAAGAAGAATATAATAATAATAATAACAATTTAGAAGATAGTACAGCAGATTTTCAAACCAGTGTTAAACAGACTAATTTAGAAATAAAAGATGCCCAAGAACTTAATAATGCAGAAAACGAAAAAATAAGTCCTAGCAGGGATATATATACTCCAGATTTTGATAGTGATACCGATGATACTAGTAGTACAGGTACTTCTTGTACATCCACTTCGGGATCATTCGAGTGTCTTTACAAATCTGAAAGAATGGCTGCTAAAACATCCCCTGAAATAGTAAATGATGATAGAGAAGATGGTAGTGAAACGCCTATTCAAATATTTTCAGGTACTTGGGATCGTAAAGCTACGCCTACAAAAAGTTCAATGAAATCACCAGAGAGAAAGGTATTTTATGAATGTTATTTATAATTTTTTTACTGTCTGTATTAGAAAATTATTAATATAGGGTCTTCCAAAAAGAATGCTACCCTTTTATATTATTATAATTATGTTAATTATTTTCTGAGAACATTGTAACATACATTAAAACATTGAAAAACTGTCCAAGTTTTACATTTATCCATTATAATTACTTAGTGTAAGCACTTCGTCACACAGCACACATACAATTGATACTCAAATTTCTCCTAAGCTCACTACAGTATGTCCATCGTCACTCATATCCCATGGCAGCCATAATTCTATAGCTCTGTGACATCACTCATAACTCGCCCCCCATTTATTCACTTTATCCAAAGCTACCCTCTTATCCTTCCTTTTGACCCTAACACTCCACTTTTGACTTTTATTGTTCGAAGATGACCCATTAACTGTATTGAAAACATTAGCATTCTTCTAAAATTCCACTGTTAAAGGTACAATAATTCATCCAGTAAGTAATCACAGTCACTAGTTTATCATCGTTATCTGAATTAAAAAAGTTATAAATAATGTTTATGTAGATACTATATCATCATTATTTATTTATTTATTAAATGAAGACAAAATTTAGTTGAAAGAAAAGTTTTGATTAAAAATAGTACCTTCTGTGGAAAAATAATGAAGTGAAGCAAGCTTTACAATTGCATTTTACATGCTGTTTTTCATGAAATTAATAATAGGAATAAACTTATACTGTTGCACCTTTACAGCCTTGTATTTTTTTATTTTACATAACAAAATATTCAAAGTACTTAAAATAGAAATTTACTGGTATTAGGAAAAAGCCAATCGAGGCTGTTATCTTACCGCCTCCTACAGTCTTCTGATCCTGATTAACAGCTTTATATAAATTCACTGAGTTGAATAATGAAATAACATAAATTAAATATTTAGTTTAATAAGTTATGTTCTTTATTTAATAAGTATTTTAATATTTTAATCTCTTTTGATCCTTTAAAAATACAAAATTTTATATCATAATATATATAAATAAAAGAACATAACTTATATTATTATTATTATTATTATTATTATTCCAATACTTAACTTTTAAAAGAGCATCAACTAAATTAAAGCACATTGGACTTTAACATTTAGAAACAGTAATTGTAAACTAGAACTTATTTTTGTTTATTATTTCAGCTCCAAAGTATACTATTTGATTTATAAAAATGCAATAAACAAATAGAAAAGTTTTTAAGTAGCCTGAATACTTAAATTAAAATAAAAATATAAAATATTGCATAGGACAGTGTATATAACAAAAGCAATGAGGAAAAAGATACAAAGGTAAAGATAGAAATTAACAAACAAGTAATGCAAATTGAATTTGATGCTGGAAAAATATCATTGGTGTAAATTTTTTGATATAGAAAATTTATATATAGTTTTACTTTGTATAAAGCCTCCACATCTATCATTTCTCTGTATCACTTCCATAGTTTTTTGGTTTTACTACAAACATGNACATTCCTAAATATACACATTTAGTATTTTATAACAATAAAATACGTATTTTTCAATATTTTATAGTGATTTAAAGCAGTGATTTTCAGTCCATATTCTGCAAATTTGTCCTGAGCATTCCACAAAAAAAGAAGTTTTTGAAAATATTTGAAATAAATATTTCAATATTTATCACAAATTTATTCCAATGTACTATAACATATTACTTTATTTATAGACAATTCCATGTTTACTATTTTATTCAGTGCATTAAAGTTTATTGCTTCATTGTTTTGTGAGAATAGTAAGCACAGAATTGCTTATCGATTTTTGGATGTATTGATGCTAATGCTTGCATAATAATAAAAAGTATATGAATGGCATGAAAAAATATTTTTACATTTGAAAATCAAGACAATACGAACAATGTTCAAGCCCTTTAAATACTCTTTCAGTTCATTCAGGGACTTGAACATTGTTTGTATTGTCTTGATTTTCAAACGTTTAAAATCAGCTTATGTATGATTATGTATATGAATGGTGTTCCACAGTCAAAGAAGGTTGAGAATTGCTGATTTAAATTATTGTTTTCGAGAATTCAGTCTGACATTCTGTAAGTTGAATTAACCTGACTTAATAATTTGATAACTTTCAATATGAATGAATGATGATGATAATTAAACATTAAAATATAGTTTTCACACACTTCTAGAAGCAAATATTTACTTATTTTATATTAACTTAATCCCATTTAAAACTTTTGAGTTAGGTTTACATTTAATGATTTACATTTCTTATCCTCTTTTTTGCTTTTTATAATTTGCCTTTATTCATTTGTTTCATAAATCTTATTTTGTTAATATTAATTTAAACTTAATTATAAAATAAAATGTTATTGACAGAATGGACAGATGAAGAAAAGTGTATCTTTTCAAGAGGAAGATCCTCCTCTGTTCAGTTATCCACCAGAATCGGAAGGAAGTGATGACGATAGTAGAGGATACGATTATCCTGATGATTTTTTCTGGAACGTTGACTACACTATGTATGCAGGTACATAAAAAAGTTTATTGTAGAAAATTGATAAATAAATGTTGAAATGGCATTTTATCAGAATTTTTTTATATAAAAATTAATGATTTCTATCAATTACATATGATTATAACAAATATAAATATTAATTATTGATATTGTTGAGTTTTAATATATTTTGTGGCTAATAAATTTATAAATAATGAGAATAATTTGAAAATGTATATATGCCTGTCACCACTTATTGATAGTAATGATCAGTAAGGACCAGATGTGTTTCAAATCACAATGTGTGCATATGTATGCACCTAAAAAGTCTGAAACATGCATTATGCATGTAAAAAATGCCAATAATATGCATTAAAATTTTTTAAGTTGAAATTCCTACATACTTTACTTCAGTCTGCAAAAAAATCTTATTAACATCTATTACAATACACTTTTCAGTTGGGAAGGGATAAATGCATGACAACAAGTGACACAAGAAATTTAAAAATTGTGACATCACAAAACATGTATTAGGATAATGTTTCGTGTAGGTTGTGCATGTTGAAGTCAGTTATGAATCCAGGTGGATAGGGCAGTGGTATGCCTAGGCATAACACCGTCCTATCCACCTATGCCACAGACCCTGACATGCGGGCCAACCACTATTAAGCTAAATTGGTCAGACAGTCACATAAAATTGAACACCTTTGGAACCTTGAGGCATTGGAAATTTACAAAGCCAACTTAGCTGGCAACTGTATTAACACAAACGATGCCATTAAGATTTCTTATGCATGGAAGTACTGTTATGAAAAAATGGGCGACACTAGCAGTTAGAAACCTTTTTCTATGCTATTATTTATATCTTATTATTCATTGTTTATGGTATAGATATATTTCTAATGCCATTGTAATATATATGGTTAAAAGTTATCTGCACATGCTTAGCTTGTTTCATATATTTTAAAAATAATTTCTTAACATGTTGTTCTATGTGTTCCATGTTCGAATCTTCCTGGTTAAAAACCTGAGGAAGACGGGTATGGTCAAAAATGTTAGTTTTCCATTAAAGTGTTGTTGTTACTGGACTTCTAAGGTTCTTGAGTGTGAATATATTATCTAGTCAATAATTAATGAATTTATTTCTTTATATCCAATTGTTTACAATATGTTTGGAAATGACTGGGTTAATCTAATTTCCTGATCCTGTAGTTGCATCATTGGTCTAAAGTAGTCTTATATTTTTTGTTTATAGCCCTGTACAAATGATGAAAAATGAGTAAATGCTCTTATTAAGTTATTAATTACAGATTTAGTCAAAGTTGATAGTAACGTTTTGTTCCAAACTGATATAATGAACTCTAGTAAAGCTGCTTTCAGTTCAACTAGATTTTTTCCTGTGATCAATTTCTATTTTATGCTTCATGTACCAATGTTTCAACGTACTGAATCACACAAACCACCTATTTAGCAGGAAACAGTTTGTCACATAGATTACAATACAGAATTTTTCTGTTTTAAATATCTAGAATCCAAACTCCTGTACATACTTTCTTAGTAATTCAATATTCATTTTTTTGTTTTACCAATATTGTTTGAACTGAACTCGATATAACCAAAATTTTTCTGTCCATGATTCATAAATGGAAATGTGACTTACTTTACTCAAAAGAATTTGTGTCCCTTATATTTAATTAAACAATACATTTGTACAATTTTTTGAAAGATTTCAATTTAACATTATTAAATTAATAAACTAAATATAACATTCACAATAATTTTAATCCAGTTAATTCAAAGGATTTTGAGAATTTGAAAAATGAGAGATATTTGTAGCAACAAGAAATGTGTTCGTTTATTGGACTTTAAAAGAATGCAAGTTAGATGTTTAAAAAAAAACATTTGAATTTTGCATGCTCGTTTATAATTGTGTATGTCAGCATGATATTTCTGATGCAATGTCCAACACATGTCCAAAAAACCAACATGTCCAAAAACCATGTCCAAAAAAGATTCATTGCAAATAATGGATTATTTAAAAAAAATAGCACCTTGCAATCATGCAAGCAAGCTATAAAGTTTATAAAGCACATATTTAGCCCCAAAAATAGTCAAATCTGCAAAATCATAAATGTCTTTATGCATTTTACTGCATAAATCATGTGTTAAAAATTAAAAATTCATATTTTATATATGTTTATAATTTTATATGAATTATTAGAAACTTTAATTTGATCCTCTTGGACTCCAAATCTTGTTTATATCAAGGTTTTTACATCATAGCATTTAAGGGAAAAAGTATGTGCCTGCATACAAATCTGGCCCTTAATGGTTAGACAGTCTTAACTTAATAAATTTGGAAATGTCTAAAAAAATTCTCAGAACAGAATTATTTTCCAGAGTTTTTAACTTAAATTAGGTATTTTAATGTTAAATATTTAAAAAATTTTACATTGATTAAAAAACTCTGCAATGACAACAGACCTTCACTTGTAGGCTATTGCTGGTAGCCTACAAGTAAAGGTCTGTTGCAAGGAGAATGTTTCAGTAATTGTGTAACTTTTTTATTATCCTTTAAATATTTGTATTAAAATATAATGTGATGAAGTTCTTTACAGGAATTTTAATATTTCTGTAATTTTACTATTAGGTAATTTGATTGCAATTTTAAAAAATTTTAGACCTATAAATTTCCACTGTTGTCCATCTGTTTGTCTGTCCTTCCTTCCTTAATCTCAAGAACGATGTTAGATAGATAAAAGTTGAGACCGGATGTGGAAAGAATAGGAGCTGGATACTCCTAATCTTGCCATATCTGGACTTGACTAATTTTAACTGAAATTCATATGATTTCACTTCAAAAATGTTCTCCACAATGGAGTTAAATAGATATTAGCATGACTGCTGTTATCAAGAAAAGTATGATATACAGGGACAAGACTCTACTAATTGGAGATCAAGAACATATATTTTAAATTAAATAAATTAAAAATTGCAGTTTGTCATTGTGGTGATGTCCGATAGTTTTTGTTTGTTTTAATTTTATTTTAATACTTGGAACTTCATCTCTGTCTTCAAAAGTCCAATACTTGCCTTTTACATTGTTTCCTCTTCTTCCATGTTTCATTTTATAATAATTCTTTGTGTGAACAATATTAGTTATACAGTAGAGCATTGATTATCCGAAACAATTTGGGACTGGGGTTGTTCGGATAACTGATCATTTATGAAAAAGTTTATTAAACACAAAACTGTACTGTATATAATTTGTATCATACGTCTTACAAATACATTCCTTACATAATGTAGTATATTAAAGTAGGCCTACAGTTTAGGTTGACAGGGAGGGGGAGAGTGCTGCAATGACACAGCACTAGTGGAAATTTGAATTTGCCAATTGGATTGCGTTCAGTTAACTGATGTTTCAGTTGATCGGTATTCGGATAATCGATGCTCTACTATACATACATATCTAGATTAAATAGCTCTAGATAACAAAAATTTAGTAAAAAATAATCAGTGGTAAGATGAGACAAAATAACATGTTATTTAAAATAATACATGCAAATTAATAGTTATAAACTTTTTTAAGAATAAAAATTAAATTTAACAACTGTACAGACATTGTGGAATAATAACAACTATCTCAATATTATGCTGGTTAAGTGAACAAAATTTGACAATTACTGGCAGTTTTTAGTATTGTTATCATAAATATTCTGAGCATAAAAGTAACACATCATTCCTCAAGTATAATTTTATCAAATAATAGTTTTAATACAATGACAATTTGAAATTTTAAAATATATTTTTATAAAATTATTCTCTTTAATGGCTTTGTAATAAGCAAATGTACTTGAAAAAGCATTACAATTGAATAGATATCACATATTTTGTTCCCTCTAAATTAAGCAAATTTTTCACAAATATATTCTGTTTGTGTTAATTATCTTAAAATAATTTGACTTTTTCTGAAACATCATCATAATTCCAAGATGTTTTAATATCTTTTATATAATATTTTGATTAAAAGAATGAATAAATTTGACAAGTATTGATTTTACTGTGTGTTTCATTATAGACTGGGATTTTCAAACATCATTAGATGCCGAAGAAATTCCTGAGGATATTATAGAAGTTGAAGATCCAGAACAGGATGACGAATATCTTTCGTTTCGTTACAAAGCTCTTCCATTATGTCCGTTTCAAGTATATTCATTCACTGATATAACTGATGACGAATGTAGTGAATCAGCAAGTCTAAAAACTATTCCTAGTAATGAATTTGGTATGATGTTTATTTATAATCTTAAAATACACTAAGAATTTAATATTTATTTTGATGTATTTGTATGTATAAACAAATAACCATAGCTCAGTTTCTAACAATCAAACACTTATGACTCAGATTATCTTTAGGTAAAATTAAGTTATTTATCAATTACTGTATTTACTTGTGTATAACACAATCTCACATATAGGACGAGGTTTGACTTTAAAGATTAAAATAAAGAAAATTAAATTTACTAATACAATTTTAATTTTATTTCGTTTATTCACAAATAAAATATCAAATGCACGCAAATGCACACATTGTCCCACAAAAATTACTGGCATTTTATTTAAACTTTAAGGAAAAAACTTATAAAATTGACAACATAATTTGTTCATGTAAAGCTAGACAATCTGGAACCTTTTTTGCCAATTATTAACAGTCGAATCCACTCTCTGTCGATTACACGTGTTTTTCTGAATTCTGATTTCCGAATAATCATCTGTTTTCATGTAGGAATGGATTAAAACTGATATCGGGCTCTCTTGTGATTTTGGAATTTCAATTTGGAATTAAAAAATTTTTAGATTTTTGAATTCCAAATTGATTTTTGTCCAATGGCAATTATATTATAAATAAATATCTGACGACAACATCCACCCAAAAGGGACCATCGTTTATTAACTTCGTGTTCCAGACTACACATACTCTTGGCGACTGATCTTTCTTTTTAGGCTATTAGCTGCCAAAAAGCTAAAAAGTCCTTTTAAAAACACAAAAAATATATCCAGTTAAAACTACAAAAAATTTCTTAAAAGGAACTGGTGGCATATAGACATTTTCATGGTTTCCGTCTATACCTTCTTGGGGATGTTTTGGCTTTTTATCTATGAGGAAATGAGTGCCGGAAAAGGTAGATTGTAAAAGCTTTGTTTTTCCTATTGCTATTCATCTTTACTCCTAACAATACACAAGAATGATTGAAATGACCCACATCTGGTAAAAAATGCGAATAGACGGTTTACAAAAATTATTGCAAAAATACAAAAAGTCCTTTGCTTGCGCGTATAGGATGGCCTAGGTTTTTGAAACAGTGAAAAATGAATAAAAACAATAAATATAAACCATTCAACTATCCAGCAAAATTCTTTAATAATTTAAAAACGTTTTCAAACGCATTAAGCGTTCATCTTCAGTTATTTCTCCATTCGAAATGTGAAATTCGAAAAATTACGCAACGGAAATTCCAAATAACGATTATGTAAAAAATTAAAAGGTAACGCGTTACAAATGAAAGTGCTATATACAAATATTCGTGTGCTCAATAAACAATAATAATAATAATAAAATAATAACAAAAAATAAAATAAATAAATAAATAAATCTATCAACGATCATCATAAGCCTGATTGAGCCTTTTATATGGATCTATGCCACTTCGTCGCAAAAAGATTTCCAAGCGGACGAAAGCCCGTCGGCATCTCTAAAGGTTTTCCCGATATAAGTTTTCCCGATGTCTATTCAACGGATTAGCCTTCCTATAGAATGTCGCAATTTGTTACCTAAGTTGAAGTTTTTGTGCCTCAACAAGACCATTAGAATTGCAAGACGACGTTTTTACGGAATTCTGCATGGCATCATAAAGTTGGAAAATGATCTGTATGAAGAGGATCAAGTTATGCTAAAAGAAGTTAACAGTAGAGTAATAGCTTTGGAACATTCTTTAGAAAAGAGGTTGAAACGCACATACATTAAAAAGCTAAAATGGCTGTTTAGATGCCAGAATGTTAAACCACGGGTGAAAAAAGAAGTATTTTTAACAGCTTGGGACAACATCGTTCCGCCCCAATGCTAGATAAACGCCTTGGAATACGGCCCTTCCTTTGCACCGACACCACCGTTGCGTCCGGAAAACCTTATACCGAACGTTGAGACGCTCATAAAGGATATGAATTTAACTGAGCAAGATTATTACAGATGGAAAACAAGATTATATGCCGAGACGGAGAGATATTCTAACAAAAATGCTTTACGTTTCCAACGGCACATTAAGGAAGCGAAAGAATGGCTCCAAAAAAATGACGTTGTTCTCATAAAGGCTGATAAATCAAAAGGTGTTGTACTCATCAAACGGAGCTCATATAGAGAAAAACTGCATGACTACATCGACAGCACCGAATGTCTTCCTGCCCCGAGTAATTACCTGGAAGCCTTACAACAAAGAGTGAGAAAATTTACACTAACTCCTTTAGCCAATTATCTGGGTATGAGGTCTGCTACTTTACAAGCTCCTAGGACACCAAGAATTTTTGCCTTCGGAAAAACACATAAGCCTGGTTCGCAGTTACGGCCTGTGGTAGAAAAATGTAATGCTCCAACCTTCGGAATAGAAAAACGACTTGTTAAATTTGTACAAGAAAAGATGCAGGTTTCGCCTTTTTCGATAAAAAACTCATTGGACTTAATCCGGAAACTGGAAAATGTTGCGCTCATGAATGAGGAATGGATGACAGTGTTAGATTATAAGGCGTTATACCCGTCAATCAAGCTGCCTCCATGCTTTTGTGCTCTGAGAGATTTTTTATTTGCTAATGTTAATAACGCTACCAAATACCATACACAGATTTTGGAATTAGTAGACTTGATTTGTCATACATCTTTCTTTGAATTCGAAAATAATACTTATCTACAGGGACGGGGAGTACCGATGGGTAGCCCCATGTCGTCTGTCCTCTGCGAATTAGTACTTCGTAATCTAGAAAACAGTATCATCCCTTCCTTACAACAAGATATATTAATATATGCGAGATATGTTGATGATGTATTTATCTTGTGGAAGGATAATCGCAACATCAAGCATTTTGTAGATCGGATAAACAGTAACCCGTATGGTTTAACCTTAGAATTGGAGCAACAAGGGAGTAATAGTGTTAATTTCTTGGATCTGACTATAACATGCATAAAAGGGGAAATCCGAACCAATATTTATTGTAAACCGACATCTATTCCCATCATTATCCCCAAGAATTCAGCGGATCCGGAGCATATTAAAATGGCGGTATTTCGATCTTGGATAAGGAGAGCACACACCCATTGCACAAATGTTTGCGATACTGTTAAGGAGTTACAATATATACGAAGTACTGCCGCGCAACATGGCTACGGAAGAAGAAGAATAGAGGCCCTCATTAAGAAAGATAATAATCTTATAAGGAGGCAAAAGCAAAACCACCAAAAAGAAAGAATAGTCATCGATTATATACCTTTCCTTAAACCAATTATCAAGAGGGTTTCCAAAAGTAAGAACTTGCAGATAGTTTATCGACGTAATCCCACTATATACAGGATGTTAAGGAATGACAAGGGGGATTATGAACGCAACTCCTTAACAGGAATATACTCGATACCGCTACGGGACCACAGGTTCAACTCTAATTTAATATATATAGGCGCAACTTTGAGGAATTTGAAAAAAAGAATCAATGAGCATAAGCTTTCAGTAAACAAAACGGTAGACAGCACGGTCCTTGCCGCTTATGCTAAACAACAAGGCATCACTGTTTTCTGGGACCAGGCCTCTATAATAAAAGCCACCAGATCTAGACACGCGGTAAAATACCTTGAAAAGTTGGAAATCCACAAGGCACAGAAGAGCGCACAGTGTATCAACTTTAGAGATGCCGACGGGCTTTCGTCCGCTTGGAAATCTTTTTGCGACGAAGTGGCATAGATCCATATAAAAGGCTCAATCAGGCTTATGATGATCGTTGATAGATTTATTTATTTATTTATTTTATTTTTTGTTATTATTTTATTATTATTATTATTGTTTATTGAGCACACGAATATTTGTATATAGCACTTTCATTTGTAACGCGTTACCTTTTAATTTTTTACATAATCGTTATTTGGAATTTCCGTTGCGTAATTTTTCGAATTTCACATTTCGAATGGAGAAATAACTGAAGATGAACGCTTAATGCGTTTGAAAACGTTTTTAAATTATTAAAGAATTTTGCTGGATAGTTGAATGGTTTATATTTATTGATTTTATTCTCCAGTAAGCAAGTATACCATTAATTATAATGAATAAAAACCTCATCTTATATGCAAGTAAATATGGTAATTAAATTATGGAATTTTATTTAAAGGCAAGCAGTTAAGTCTGCATATTACATTTAAAATGGCAACTTAACTGCCTCTTTTTACACCAAATTCCATAATTTGATTAATTAATAATTAGTTCAGTTCTAGCTTGAAAATGATCCAGCTTGTAGATATAGACATTTTAAATAGTTCTAACAGATTAAAGAAATTCAATTTATAAATTATCATTCATGTTAGAATGATAATTTTTAAATTGTATAGAAAAGTTAAAATTTTGTTATATTAATAAATTATTATGTTTAAAGCATTTCATAGTTTTAAACATAATTGGAAATGTGGTATTATGTTTTAAACATAACACATTTCTTCAAGATGTATCATGAGTTTGAAACTGAATTTGAAGATCTTTCTTGGAGAGAGAAAAAGTTTTAAATAATCAATTTTATTAAATTTTGTTAAATAACAACAAGTTCAAAAAACAGTACAAATGTAATGAAACAGTGTTTGGCATCTTTATTTCCATGCTCTTCTACACACAGAATATTTATTTATTTTCATGTTGTACTATAATGTTGTCTCAAATGTGTTTTAAACATTAAAAAAGAGTTTAAATTAAGTGCTCATTACAGGCAAAGCACATTAGAACTTATAAGCTTTGCTGGTAATAAGTATTTAATTTGAACTTCTTTGAATGGTATAATTGAAAATGTCTATTGTTGCATAATGCATTATATAGTTACTTGGGATGATTATTGACTTTGAAGTAGTGTGCTTTACATTAAACATCTAACTAGTAAAAATGGGTCAAAAGAAGCATCTCTTAGAATTGAGGAAATACAGTAGACCCTTGATTTAATGGACAAAAATTTATAACTTTTTTTTTTATTCATGGATAGAACACACTAAAAGATAGGTTAGTGGGTATAATTTACTTAATGTACTTTTATAGGACTTGAAAGGACGTTCAGACGATACATACAAGTTTGTAACTAGAAACACTTTATTTTTGTTCTTTTAGCATCAGATGAGTGAGTAATGAGACTAGATAGTAAACAAGTTGATTTCTGCTTGTTAGTGGGATGTTAATTGCTAACACTTGTACATGGATACAATGTGTATATTATATAAGATGTTGTTTATATTTGTACAGTATAACAGGGATGACCAAACCTTGTCACAATAGGAGCAGTATGCTACTTATTGGAAAGACATGAAAGGTATATCCTCTATTGGACAGCTGCATCCTCTGTTTATAGTATTTTAACTATATATAATGTAATTTGTTTATCTACGCATTATGAAGTACCAGTAATCATTTAACTCCTTTGATTTCTTGAATATGACCTAAGCTTTTATTTGCCTGTACAAGTTGCAAGTTTCACTTATAATTTCTGTGTATATTACACTAGATAGTAGAAAACTTACAAAAATATTATATACATGTAAGTAGTACATACCAAGTTTATAAAAAGAAATTGTGTATTTATGTGGAGCCGCATGCCACAGTTTGGCCACCCCTGCAATATAACATTTCAATATAACCTGCATATTGTACAGTCTTTATTAATGTTTTTTAAATACATTTGATGACTTGGCAATAGTGGACATGCTTTTACCCGATTAATCCATTCAAATGAAGGTTACTATATTAGATTTTTAATGCAAAATAAAATAAATAATTATTAAGGACACAACTTCATTAAACATTCAGAAACAATTTATTCATTGAAATATTTTTGTTTTATGTATTCATAAGTTTATTCATTGAAATATTTTTGTTTTATGTATTCATAAGTTTATTCATAAAAAATCTTTTTTTACTTAAATTTTTAAATTTAAATTGATATACAGCTATTAGAAGTTTTAAAATATAATAATAATTAAAATATTATTAGAAAATTTATTTCTAAATTTTCATTAATCAGTTTTTGATATCATTACTGAAGTTTGTTTCTCTATGAAGACATAAAATTATTAATCTCTTGTATTTTAAATAACAAAAAAAATTTTTATTTTTGTTTAAATTTTTAAATTTTTGATTATAACAAGGTGTTAACACAATTAATTATCTATTTTTGAAACATTTCCAGTTTATTGAATTTTCAGTGAGCTTATAATTAGTTAGACGAACATGTTTTTGTGCTTCATTTGATTGATCATGTGTATGCATTCTTCCCTAATTAATTATCTTTAAATCATTCAAATGATGATAATAAATATATTTAATTTTTAAATTAAATATATAAATATAAATTTTGTTTCTACAACATTTCTTACAAAAAAAATTTTTGCCACATTAAATGCATACTTTATTTTAAAAATGTTTAGAAAAGAATATGTACAGTTGTCATTAGAATTAATATTGTATTTTTAAATTGTAAAACACATATTTAATACAGTTAAATATTTTTATTTAGCTGTAACATGCAAACAATTATTTATTTAGTTTATAAGTTGCCAAACAGATATCTATAATATATTTTTTAATGAATATTACTGATAGATTATAATGTGTTAAAGTAAATAAATTCAGTAAGTCTTGGAGTTACATGGATTTGCAGATGCATTATATACAGTAGAGTCCCTATAACACGGTAGATATGTTCCGTGTTATATGAATTTTGTGTTGTACGAGTCACTTAAATACATGAGCCAATCACAGCCCAACACGTGTGCAGTTTAGGGACTACGGCTGTTTGAAAGGTTTTCTTCCATAAAATTAATTGATTCTAGACTAATTTGACTCAACATTTCTAAAACATGTATAATTTTTTGGGAATAATCCATATAAACTATGCTATAAACAAAAAATTGTACGATTACTTACCGAGTGTGCACTGTTCGATGACACCATTGCTTAAGCTTGTTTTCATCATGGAGCAGCTCATCAAATGGCAGGCGCATGTTTTCTGATAATTTATTTTTCTGCAAAAAATTTGCTGAACTTTGCAGACATCATTAATAAAAATATCATTTTTATGGCCGTTGAATAATAATTGCTTTTTAGTAGGTCCAGTGCTCATTTAAACTCAACAGTTTATGCAATATCTGCTATTGGTCCAGATTCAATCAATCCTATCACGACACAAGTCGGCAATGATGTTTTACCGTTTTATACGAGTTTCTTTTAGCATGTTATACGAACACGATCACAATTTTTTTGTCATGTTATATGAACCTGTGTTATAGGGGGGTCTACTGTATACACATACAGGGTCTTTCAAAATGAACATTACTAATTTAATATGTATTAATTTAAAATAGATTGATTAATTTGTGTTAATTAATAATTGTCTGAGAAGTATGTGACATACCTAATTAGTAGAGTAACACCAAGTTTTGCCTCATGTCTGCATTTAAATATCTTGTCTACTACCTGCAGGAAACGCCATAAATGAAAATGGCAACTTTGCAATAGATAAGGCATTTTATGTTCTGTTATACGCAAAGTCAGAATCACTCATTGTGTGATTCTGACTTTGTGTATAACAGGAATGAATAATCCACAGGTATAGAATTGTAACTAATGTGGGAGGAATGATGACAGATATGCCATAGCAAGTATATGAAGAATTTAAGTATTGATCAAGTGTGTGTCACGTGATACAAGGTGCACACATTGAGACATTGTAATAGGCAAATGTGAAACTTGGACAATTTTTTAATGTGCACATACATTACAATGTTCTCAGATAATAATTAGCATAATTACAATAATTTATAATGGTAGCATTTTTTAAGACCTCGTACTTACAACTAATAATGCCATCTATTAAGTGCCATTTTCAACATATATAGTAAATGATAAAATTTTTATTTTCTCAGTTTTTTTTATAAGCATGAACTGTTTAGCTTTAATTAGCTTTTGAAATGATTACATTTGTTAAAAGTATTGTATATTGATTGACTTGTTTGTCAAGCCTTGAATGAATTAACCGTGTAAGTTGAGGACTTATTGTTAAAGAATTTTTGAAATGTTAGCTTCAAGACAGTTAAAATTATCTTCAGTAAATACTTTTCTTGGCACATAGCAGGATGTTGAGGAATCGTCATACTGTTCCCAAATGACAATTTACTTTAAAATTAATAAAATAGATTTAATACATTTAGGTTTTAAGTAAGAAAAATGTTTTTCTAAATAGAAAATTTTACGATTTTTATTATTTTTTTTATAATCTTTAACATTAAAACTTCAGTATTTACAGAAATTTGAACACTTAAAACTTAAATTTACCTACATGTAAGAAATGTTTAATAAAACTGGTTAAGTCTTTTTTTAGAAAGTTTTTATCGTTTATAATAAATTAATTATTTTTCTTGCATGTTCTATAATTTCATAGAATTTTGTTAAACAAATATTTATTATTTAGTTTAAAAAATTTATTTAAAATAAATTATTTAAAATTTCAGGAACAACAAAAAATAATTTGATTAAAAATAATCTCGAAATGAAAGTGATCGAAGATCCTTGCTCATCTCCTATAGGCAGCGTTCCTGATGAAGTGTGCGAAGAAGTAATAGAGACATTTCCGCACTTTACCGACTTATCTGATATAATTTCAACAGCTTCGGATGATGATAAAAACATGAATGCATGTTCTTTTGAAATTTTAGAAGTTGAAGACAATGCATTAGAAACAACAAACTCGAAATTCACTGAAGAATCGGGATTAGAGTACGATAAGCCCAGTTTGTGTTTAGTTATAGAAGACGGTACAAATAAGAATAAAAATAATTCAAGTTCAAAATATGCAGTATCTTCGGTAGATGATTTATCCGAAAATCAAGTTCAGCAAAACACAATTGCAACAGATATAACTTATAATATGGATGCAAATAATGTAATTAATGACACAAATGAATTTGAAAAAATGGAGGCAAATCCTTTTACAGAAGCCGATGGTTTATCAGCAATAAATGAAGCCGTCAATGTATCATGTAATTATAATAATGTTACAAAAAGTATCGAAGGTGATTTCGAAGCCAACAAATTAGAATTTGCCATTAATCCCGCAAATAATTATTTAAAGAAAAATAATGTAACAAATACTTATGAAAAAGAGAATGAAGATGTGCCATTTTCGAATGTGTATCTAATGAACGAAGCTGCAAATGATCATAATTTGATTTTTGAACATAACAATAATGGAGAAATTGAGGATGATAGCATAAAAATAGAATTTGTTAAAAATAGTCAGATTAATGGTGATAAGATTGAAAATAACAATCTGTTATTAGATGCTGCAAATGGCAATCAAAACGAATCTGATAATTTAACCAAAGAAACAAATGTCGAAGCATTTTCAACATTGTATGAGGATAAATACAAATGTACAGATTTTATACCAGCGACAGAATATAAATTTGATTTATTATCAAATAATAATGCAGATATTTTTTCAACTCAGTATTTGGAATCTAATAAAGTGTGCTGCAATTCTGAAAATAAAATTCTGTTACAATCATCCGATAATGATGGTAATAATTTTACTCATTCGGAGAATGCTGAAAATTTGGATTTTATGCAATTCGATCACAATTGTATCCATAAACATAATTCAGTTGGTTGTTATGATTGTTATAAAACTGAAGAAGCCCAGTTGGATGCAGAATTTAAAGATTTTGCATTTTCTGTTTTTGGTGAAAATGAATTTCAGACTTCGCAGCAAAATATTACCGAAGCCTCATCGTCGTCAAAGTCTACCGAGGATACTTCCGAACAGGACTCTGCAATTTCGTCTAGTGGTGAATTCAGCCCCACATACTCTCCAAGTTTAGTTCAAGACAATTTTAAAAGCAAAGATGCTTCTTGGGATTTTCACCAGACGTTTCTACAGTTTTCACATGCGGATAACATGGCAAACGACAATATAAATGCGGAAAATATCGACAATGTTTTTGAAGAAAAAGTCATTACCGAATCCACGGCAGCTAAGTGTACGATACCAATACCGACAATCGTCATCAGTGATTCGGACAATGTGGATAATTTGCAAGATTGTAATGACAAATTCGAACGGAATGGCAACGTTGTGTTGGATAGAAATAGCACGTCAGGAGAATTCCACAGTGAAAATAACAATGCAGCTATATGGAAAAACGTTTAAAGTACTTTGCTTTCAATAAATGACAATTTATCAGTTGAATAGGAAGTGAATTGTCACTTTAGCCAATTGCCATATTTTTTGAAAACTCCTAGTCAAGTTATTGTTGAACCAGGTAGTTATAGATAAACATTTCAACCTCATTGAGCAAAGTTATAGCATTTTCTTGGAAGTTATACTATAACTTGTGATAAATATTCAATGATTATAAAATACTTTGTAAATTAGTGTGAAAAAAAAGTAAAACTTAATAATTGTTCTTCATAAAGAAAAAAAATTATATTGAATATTTAAATTAAGAAAATTTGAAGTGATTTTATCATTTTTGTAGAATAATTAACATAAAAACCCTATGTCGGAATTTTATCAAAATCTACACTTGAAAACAACAAAAACAGTTTGATGTTTGTCTCCAAAACTTGTTAATATTTGTGTGCCATTTTTAATCAGATTAATATTATTGTTCTTTTCAAACTAAATTATTTGAAAATTGTATTATTTGATAGACTGAACTGGAATTCAAAAGAATGTAAAGAAACTCCCTTTTTTCAAATGCTAACATTAAATCTAATTGTTAAAGTTTGGTTTCGGCCTTTCGAGTTTCGTTTAAAAACTTGAATAATAGTCCAAATTATAGTGTAAAGTGCAATGAAAATATGCTGCTTGGAATTTAAAATATTCTGATAAAAGTCCGTCCAGTTTAATTCTGGGAAAATGAAGTCAAATGTTAGCAGCTATGTAACACATATATATGCATCGCCGAACTGTATATATATGTAAGTATTCAATAATTTCTTTTGTTTCTTTGAATGATTTTAAATTTCCCGACAGATATCGATGACAGATGCTTGACGGACAGTTGAATTTATTTTTAATTGTATAAAAGTTTTATTTGAACAGCTATGTATTTAAGTTTGATTAATATGTAACAATATATACTTAAGAATTATATTTGTGTATATAACATACATGTTTAAATTATTTTGCCAAAAAGTATTTTGTTCCTTTATGAAATTATAGTTCTATTTTTTTACATAATTATATTTGTTTTTTAATTATATTAGAGACAATCTAAAGTTTAGGGGAAAAAATGCTTCAAATCTCAAAATTATTCAATAATAAATCATAACAGATCATTTTAAGATTGGGAAAATTTAATGTAACACTTTTAGATCTTAACTTAAATCCTTCAATATTTGTGATGCTCATAATTATAGAATTTAATTTACTGAATATATACAGAAAAATATTGCACAAATATGTGTTCCTGTAGAATGAATATAAGTAAATAAAGTGCAAATTTCTGTTGTCTTTATTCAGTTATAATAAATGTGTTGGAATTATTCTATGATGCGGTACATTGTTACAAAAGGTTTTTTAATCTAATATAATTTATTCTAATATTTATTTATTATATTTTATGAATATTTATGTAATTTCATGATAAATGAAAATGTAGGGAAGTTGACACTGTGTTATGAGTTAACCTCAAACTGTTGGGATCAGATAATCAAAATTATATATTTACTTAAACATTTTCAGCCATTAAACAGCTGTCTATAGCTTTCAATGAATTCAACAAACACATATGATTAGAATTTTAAATTTGTTGTTCTACAATGAACGGTAGCCTGCAATAACCAAGTACCAGTACAGTATTTGCCGACATATAAGATACATCCCATTATCCAAAGTAATTTTTTGAAGAAAAAGTTTTTAGTACATTCTAATTTACTTTATTGAAAAATAAAGTACTGTAATTTTTATGCCATTGGTGTGTACAAAAATGAAGAAAACTGCATATAATGTTTGCTCCCTTGATGAGTTTACCCTCCAAGGTTGGAAAAGGAAGGAGCATGCATCATTATGCATGTGTACATTAAAAATGTGCAAACAAAGAATGTGTTTATAAAGCTGTTCAGTTAAAGATAGTGGTAGAATAGAAGATTATCTACATAAATGCAAGAAATGTCTCGTTTGATTACAGGAACTTCTTGACTTTAGCATAGGTTTGCACCTAGCTTTTATGCAGCATGTCTTGTATCTCCAAACTTGTTAGTTGTTACACTGGACTTGTAAAATTACACAATTAAATTTGGAGACCAGAAACTGAAGTTGACGTGGTATTGCTTATAATTAAAGTTGCCTTACTCAGACCTGTATAAAGCCCGTTCTCATTGACATATTTTAGTGAAACTTGATGTATACATTATATGGACCATGGGAGAAAGGAAAATGCAAGAAACATTTAGTTCAAATTTTTACCACTAGGTGAAATAATGGCGCATGAAAAACAAGAAACACAAAATGAAAACACACAAAAGGATTTTATTCACAACATTTGTTCAATGTGCAAACCATTTGCATCAATCACTTGTTCAAATCACCTTACAGCATGTTCAACAGTAGCTCGATAGGTTTCTTGAGGAATTGTAGCAACATGACATGTTATGCTTGCTTTCAATTCAGACTGAGTCCATATGCTTCTTCTATAGACACAATCTTTTAGATATCCCCACAATCAAAAGTTAGAGATTCATGTCTAGAGAAAGAAAGGCCAAGCATTCAGAAAACTTCTCAAAATTATCCGATCATCTCCAAATTTGTCATGAAGCAGTTCCTTCACTTGTCAGGCAATATGCAGTGTTGCCCCATCTTACATGAAGACAGTAGTCTCTAAACATCCTCGTTCTTGTAAAGCAGGAATGATGTGATACAGCAGAAGTTCTCAGTAACAGACACTCATCACAGAACACCTTTTAGGGCCTTCAGGTGTGATCTCCTCACAGAAAAAGAGGCCAAGAATGAAGTCAGAAGTAGAACCACACCAAACGGTGATGTAAGCAGAGTGCAGAAGTTGTTCATGCACAACATCAGGTCTCACAGTATCCCATATGCAGCAGTTCTGAGTATTCACTGCTCCATCTCGGATGAAATGTGCCTCATCTGACTACAAAATGTTTCATGGCCATGCATTGTCAACAGCTATTCTGGCCAAAAACTGGCAAACAAACTGTGTTGTTCTGGATTTTGAGGATGCAGCTTTTGTGACACGTGGATCTTGTATGGATACCACTAAAATGGATCACATAATTTTTCAAACCGTAATCCAAGGATTAGACAAATCACATGACGTTGCTTGAGACTTGCCGAACAATGTTGGGAAGTGTTTGCTCTGTCAATCACAGCAACCACGATTTACTTCATAGTTTCATTTGAAATCCTTTTCTGACCTCTACCTGGCAATACATCCAACTCTCCAGTCACTTCAAATTTGGTATTCATCTTTCTCAAACCATACCCTGACATAGGCCCTATTCGCAAGCCTTTCAAGCATCAATATTCTTGCAGTGCAGCTGAACCGTTACTGTCCTGATGAAACTTTACCAGTAAAGCTTGATCTTTCTTCTATTAAAGCATGATAAAGAATGATAAATGAAATTGACTACTGGCTTTTGAAAAGGTTTGTAATTTGCATAGCATTTGTTGCATGCACCATTTTTTCATCTAGTGGTAGAAATTTGATGATGATAATTTAATGCAGAGCATGCGGTAGACGTAAAATCATATATTAAATTTATATTTGTATTTATTTTATGTATGTATTTTATTGTAATTTATTTCACTATGTTTATCTTGTTTAATTCTAATTGGACGGTTTTTACATTGTATATTTTTAAATTTAACATAATGTTTGAAACACTTTGAATTTAATTTCCGTGGTGATTCGATAAGAACAATAGCAAAAGAACTGTTGTAAATGTTAAATTAACATCAATAACCTGAAGATGATCCTTGAGTGGGTTGAAAACGTTTGTTCATTGTAATAAACAAACATTTATTACGATGAACAAGATATAACAAGATGAGTTTGATATACAGAAATTTGAACTAAATATTTTTTTGCATTTTCCTTTTCCCTGGGGTCCGTGTAACATATATACTGTACCAAGTTTCATCAAAATACGTCAATGAGAACAGGCTCTATACAGGTCTGAGTAGGGCAACTTCAATTATCAATATAACCACCCTGTATTTGGTATAGGTATTAAAGACAAAGACTTCCCAACCTTCCTTAGTCATACTTGCTTGATACAGAAAAGTGTGTACATTGTATGAAAGTCAAGCTGAAGGATTATGAAGTAATTTAGACTTTGTATATCACTAATAATGCAATTCTTTTTGGGCTGCAATTTGAAAAAACTGTAGACCTATAAATTCCCACTGTCATCTGTCTTTCCTTAATCTTGAGAACAGAGTTAGTTAGTTGAAATCCGAGACCATATATGGAAACCTTAGGTGCATGAGGGCCCAATTAACTATGTACGAACTTCTGATGCAAAGAAGTCACGTTATTTCAATTCAAAACTTCTGAAAGCAGTTAATAGATGACCAGGACCATGTTCAGTAATGCAAAACATCTAAGTTAGAATTCTAAATGGATTAGTGGCGGAGCTAAGAATGTTCCGAGCATCACTGAATGATTATTCTTAGTTAGACAACTGGACAAAATGGTGGACAAAGTTAAAATTATGATCACAGCAATTGTCACAAACAAACTAGTCGAAAAGGATGAAGTACCCAATACAATTATTCAAATAAAGCTGCCTCAGATTGTGACGAAATTAATGAAGCAATTATTAATTGTAATCAACGAAATGGACCGTTATCTTTCATTAAAACGTATTCGGTATCTGTTATATTGACGTATGATAATTGTACATTTCGAAGTCATTTTAGAAAGAGTTAATGGTCTGAATGAGAGAATAACATTGTGATTGTTATAATAATATACATTTAGTCCAACACAGGCAGCCATCTTGCAAATCATACAACGAGACAAAAACAATGACGTCACTAGTAGAAGTTAGCGTAGATAAAAGAAGCTGACTGAACTAGCTAGAATTCTAGTGGTGGGGGGCAGCCATCTTGCAAATCGTACAACGAGACAATAACAATGACGTCACTAATAGAAGTTAGCTAGATAAAAGAAGCTGACTGAATTAGCTAGAATTCTAGTGGTGGGAGGAGTTAAGCAGTAGTTAGAAATGAGTTTAACATCGCAGCATAACTAGACTTTGCAAGAATTCTGCGTTACTGAACACATCCCAGCACAACTGTATTGTTAAAGGAAAAGTTTGATGTACAGGGGCAAACCATTACTAATTTGAGGTTGAGAGTATATATTTTAAATTAAATAAATTAAAAATATGATTAAAAATTGCAACCAGGATTGTGATCATGTCACAATAAATAAATGCTTATTTTATGATGAATCACTTTGTAATGGACATGAATGAGAGGACAGACTTCTTTGTGTCTCTTACTTTGTTAATTTTCTATTGGCTATTAATATGCTTCTAGTACAAACTTATAGTGACCAAAAATGACTTTAAAGTGACTGTTTTTTCATTTCATTTTTATTGATTCCAATATGCATTTCGGATGTATAAAGTTGTCCATTTTCAGTTGGATACAATATTATATCTACATAGACAAATTAATAGGTTCTATTATAGAATCCAAACTAAAGATAAAAAATTTTTCATCTATATTTCACCTGTTTTTATTAAAAAAAGATGTGGAATTTTTAGCTGTTAACTTAATATGGTAAATAAAAACTAGGCATAGATCATATTAGATTTTTGTTGGTATTAAGATAATTCTTATATATTTGTTAATAAATTAATAAAAACAAGATCTTAGCATACATTATTAAATTCCCAACAAAAATTTTTATATATAAAAAACTAAGGTTTACTTCTATTATTTACATAATTCATAAACAGTTTTCATAATTTTCTAATTCTTTCCAATATCTGAATTCCCAAAAAATTATTGAGGCATATTAATAGCCAATAGAAAATTAACATAATCATCCTAACAAAAATCAAATCTCTTTTACTTTGTTTGCATGGTTTTAATTTGTAACTTATTAGTTTTGAAATAGCTTAATGAGAGTGTTGTAGATTGTTTCTGAACCTATACAGATTCATCAGATCATCTACTCTACACAAGTATTGATGTAAGATTTATAACTGCTTTATTTCTATATTGTTTACTAATGTTTTGTTTCCACAAACTCTTCAATGACGACTATTTTCTCTCTCTCTCTCTCTCTCCATCATTTGAATCACTTTCAGCCACACTCTCAAAAAGTTCAAAAAGAAGCACAGATGTGCAAACAGAAGCCAAAATGCAAAACTAAACGTACTACTACTGAATAAAACATGCTTGTATGCAACTTTCATTCTCTGTATCAGCAATGTCTTATTATAGTGCTTCTCTGGATAATGCAGATGCCACCTGGTTGAGAGTTACAATATTGTGCTGTATATC